CAGTCTACCTATCTATCCATCCATCTATCTATGAATGTGTCTTTCTAACAACCTGTCTATCCATATTATCCATTCACCTATCTACTCGCTTATCTAACTCTACCTATATCCATTTATCTATCAATCTTAAATAGCAGCTGTCAAAATGAACATACATGTACAACTTGACTTGATATAACTATATGTACTGTATTGTCCCCATACTATAATGAATGTAACTTTATCTCCCTCCCTTATGATAATGGTTACATTACCCAAAAGTAAAAAAGTAGCCTGCTCGGCGGCCGAGCGGCGAGTTTTTAGCCAATTTTGCCCTGCCACCGAGCGGCGCGGCCGCCCTAGCATTTTGACAAGGCCTCGTGACTCTGGCTAAGCGGCTGAGATGAGTCTAGATACCCCGGGTGAACGCGCGACCGAGTGACGAACACGGTCACGAGGCCTTTTGCAAAGTGGGTTTCACTGCTCCGCATGAATTATTCATAGATACATATTAGCATGCCAATACGCCTACTTTGGATTTATTGACCAATCAGAACGGCGATCTCCCAGTTGGCTTCGTTCGTGATTCGTTCCATGTAGAGGTCAGTGGTCTTAGCACGTACGTATTGTAGGCATGTAGGTCCATGTTCGCACTACGTAGAGTTTACTGTGTGTGTGTGTGTGAATTGTGTGTGTGATGGATACTATATGCTGACGTCGTGCGAGGATACGTTCGCTGATTGGACACTACGTTTTCTGAAGCGAGTTCCAGTCGGAAACAAGGGTTAACATAAGAAATCCAAACCAGATTGATAAAGACCACAGGTCTGGACAATTCGCACTGGCGTTAATTCAGGTTTTCGCGATTAGTCTCTTTTTAGTCGCATGTGGCCTTGTTTAAAGGCTACGGCCGCCCAGGCACCGCTCGTTTTTAAGGCATCGCTCGGTCGCTGCTGAAGTTTTAGCGCGGAGTTAAAATTCGGGCGGCGCCTGCTCACTTGCACTCGCCGCCCAGACTACGATCGGCGACCGGGCGGTCGCCGCCCGGGCGGTCGCCGCCCGGGCGCAGACCTAATCGAGCGTTCACCGTCGAGCGATTTAGGTCAAAAATCGAAGCTCCTATAGGTCAAAGGCTGCCGAGCAGTCACCGCCCGGTCGCTTGGAGATCAGTCGGTCACTGGGCGGCGGGTCCAAAATCGGTCGACAGCCTTTGACCTATAGCGGCTTCGATTTTTGACCTAAATCGCTCGGCGGCGAACGCTCGATTAGTTCGGTGCCCGGCCAGCGAACGGCCAGGCACCGGGCCTATTTTGGAGCCCCGCCGCGCCGATCACTGGCCGGTGTGACCGCGCCGTTTGTCCTACCAGTTTCGTTTGTCCGTCGGACATAATATGCGGGTTTTCTGCTCGCACGGATCGTCCGTGACTCGCACGGATCGATGATAAAAGGAAGAAACTCGGCAAATCAATGTATTTAGACTCATTGTAAATCATGTGGTTGGCATTTTTTTCTAGAAATTACATAATAATAACTCTCTACAATTTTTTAAAGCAAATGGGCCAGTCCTTTTGAAAGTAGAAGTGAATATTTTCTTTAAAACCTTTATTCTATGAAGGCATACTCGTGATATCGGCCCCACAATTACTGTTGTAATCGATTGTACGTGGCTTCGTACTTACGGTCAGATGAGCATATTTTAATACCATATTCATGACACTGGCAGGTCACTAATTGGCGTATGGTCCAAGGGGCGGAGCCCCCGGAAGCGCAAGGGTTTTAGGCATTACAATTAAGGTCAGATTAGCATCCAGGGGCCAGCCTTAGGGCCCAAGATGGGGTCCAGGGGGCAAAGCCCCCGGAATTAGCTCAGGGGTATGGGCATTTAATTAATTTAATATACCATACTATTACGATTTCTGCCGGACGCCAAGAAGGGCGCTCTCTGGGACTGCCATATTGGGCAAATCCAAAATGGCCGCCATCTGAGTTACAGGTCAAGTATAGTTATGAAAGGAAATGGGCGAGTATGATAAAAGTTGGTGAATTCATTGGGTTTCCGGGGTCGGATAATCTGATTATGATGTTCTTTTATCCATAAGCGAGTTCGTAATTGCACACTCCGCATGCGCCAAAATCGGGAACGAACTTTTACAAAGGTCACATGAACATAAAGAGAGCTGAGAGAGGAATTGTAATTTTTTGTGTGTGCTGGCCTTTCCTTTGTGAATGATCACATCTGACACATCAGTCACCGAAAATCATTTCTGAATGTCGGAATTGGTTCTTTATAGTAAACTTTACTTGAAATCTGGTCATCGGTAAAGTATTATCGGCATTATCGTGATCCAAGTCCCCAGGGACTCGACCTTTATGTCTAGACGTTGCATAATGCAATTCGTATTGGTATTTTATTCCATCTCAGAGTGATTATAGACGTTATTTTTTAAGGATAATAAAGATAAAGCTGTCTGGGTTTTTAAAGATAATGCTTCAAAACAAATCGAACAAGCTGTTTATTTCTTTATTCATGGTTTGTTTCTACTGTTTATCTATTTTCATTGCCAACCATCGGAAACGAATTTATTACGCATTTCACAGAGGAAGTTTGCATAGGAGAACTATGCTTTCTAATGGATCCGTACAATATGGCACAGCTTTAGGGTCCTGGGTGAGCCCCCACCGGGGTTTCCGGGGCGGAGCCCCAGGATGCTCTCGAGTTAATTTGACTTTAAAGAGCAAGTGTCTCTAAGATATAAAGAGAGGTTATTTCTTCAATGAAGTGTAAGGACTCATGAAAATGAAATAGCCCTTTCATTTCATTTTAGAAATAAACTCTAATCCATCCCTTGATATTTAAATTGCACTGCTCCTACTTCGTGCTTTGTTCACACTCTCCCTGATCTATAAAGAGTGCTTTATCTATTTGATCATCAACAGAAGCAAAATGCTAGGCCACGAACTTTTTGAAGCGTGACCAGATTCAAAGTATGCTTAAATGGGGGCATTGATGTATGTAGAAAAAAAAAGGATTAAGATCCCATGCAACGCTTCGAAATTTAAAAGAAGAATAAGAAAAATAAAGTTGAGATTTCACCTTTATGTCTAGACGTTGCATAATGCATTTCGTATTGGTATTATCTCCGTCCGACAGTGATTATAGACGTTATTTATATGAATAATAAAGATAAAGCTGTCCGGGTCTTTGAATATAATGCTTCATAACAAATCGAACAAGCTGTTTATTTCTTTATTCATGGTCTGTTTCTACAGTTTATCTATTTTCCTTGCCAATCCTCTAAAACGAATTTATTATGCATTTCACAGAGGAAAGTTTGCATATTGATGATTATGGGCGCAGGCCAAGATTTAAACCCACTCAAGTGTGAATTTGGCGCATCTTTCCTCATCTTTTTCAACCAGGAAATGGACTTCATTGTAGCCTTAAGACAGGATGGTGAAATGAAATTGATAAAAGAACATCATAATCAGATTATCCGACCCCGGAAACCCCACGAATTCATCAACTTTTATCATACTGGTCCTTTTCCTTTTGAAACTACGCTTGACCTTTAACTCGGATGGCGGCCATTTTTTATTTGGCCAATATGACCAGCATGACAGCCCCAAGGAGACCTGCAATTGATACAAGCAACATCATAATCAGATTCGCTGACCCAGAAAACCCCCTTACTATATAAACTTTTATCATACTAGCCCATTTCCTTTCGTAACTACACTTGATGTGTAAATATCAGATGGCGGCCATTTTGGATTTGACCATAAATAAATCATCATGATTGTTGCTGATGCCCATACACATTGACTGACCATTGTTCTCTCTCTTTTCATTTCAATTTACAGTTTTAAACGCCCTCCCATCGAGGGAGCGGTAACACAATGTAAGCAAATTTCTTGACACAATTAGGATTTTGTATTCATATTTTATCGTCTGTTTTTCCCTTGTTAGTTCAAATAACAAGTGACATATTAACGATATTTCTATGAGAAAAAAAAATCACAACTCAAGCTTTCCAATCGGATATTGGCGGCTTCGAACCTCGGATATCAAAGGTACCAGCACACCTGTAAATTCTATTGTATAACCTTACAAAACGGCAGCTGCTTGGAAGAACTTAATGCCCGTTGGGACTCCAGCTCTTAAAACTCATTGGCCTGACAGTAGTTTCAAGTAGGTAGCTGGGCTAGGCTTCTCTCAAGGCACAATTATTTGTTGATAAAGTGTCAAATTAGGGTCTGTGCTTGCAGACTAGCCTGATAGCGAGGTGATCCATCCACATACTAGCCTTTTGACAAGGCCTCGTTTGTTGACTCTGGCTAAGCGGCTGAGATGAGTCTAGATACCCGGAGTGAACGCGCGACCGAATGACGAATGTCATGAGGCCTTTTGGAAAGTGGGTTTCACTGCTCGGCATGAATTATTCATAGAGTGTAGGCCAATACGCCTACTTTGGATTCATTGACCAATCAGAACGGCGATATCCTAGTTGGCTTCGTTCGTGATTCGTTCCATGTAGAGGTCAGTGGTCAGTGGTCTTAGCACGTACGTATAGTAGGCATGTAGGTCCATGTTCGCACTACGTAGAGTTTACTGTGTGTGCGTGTGTGTGTGTGTGTGATGGATACTATATGCTGCGCTGACGTCGTGCTAGGATACGTTTTCTACGTTTTCTGAAGCGAGTTCCAGTCGGAAACAATGGTTAACATAAGAAATCCAAACCAGATTGATAAAGGCCACAGGTCTGGACAATTCGCACTGGCGTTCATTCAGGTTTTCGCGATTAGTCTCTTTTTAGTCGCTCGGCGTCTATCAGGCATGTGGCCTTGTTTAAAGACAATTCGCACTGGCGTTCATTCAGGTTTTCGCGATTAGTCTCTTTTTAGTCGCTCGGCGTCTATCAGGCATGTGGCCTTGTTTAAAGGCTATCCACATACTCGCTATAACACAAAATACACTTAAAAGTATGATGAATAGATTTTTTTTTAAAATATCAATTCACCCGTGAAAAAAGCGAATTCAATTGCAAACAGCCGTGTGTAAAAAGACACGCATGCCTTATCCTATTCGAGTTCATTAGTTGCGTGTATAGCAGCCAGTCAGACGGTCAGTCAGACAAGTCTAGTTTGTTTTCATTATGACCTGGATAATAACTACACGGTTTCAATTTCAAATATAGAATTATGGGTTTGTCGCATGAAGAATACTCCCTTCACTGGGGCTTTGTGGTTTTGGCGGCCAAATTTTGCCATTGGGTAATAATGACGGGACTGCTGAAATCATTTAGTATTTTCATACCTCATCTCGTCAAATTAATGGGAACGAGCTATGCTATTATAGGACTGGTTTGTTGTATGGCTGATTCATTGGGATGTTTGGCAGGTAAGAAACTATCATTATTACTATTATCATTATTATTATTATTATTATTATTATTATTATTGCTATTATTGTTATCATTATTTTTATTATTGTCATTATTATTATTATTATTATTATTATTATCATAATCATCCTTCTTGTTGTTACTATTTTTATAATTTTTGTATTACATTTGTTATTGTTATTGCTGTGAACCTCAAAGTATAAACGAAGAAGATCGAGGAAAACCTTTTCTTTCATTGGTCAATAATGCAAAATCTCAGTATATCGAAAGGAAATCTTAAATGTCTGTAATATCTACATGTACATAACATAGGATTATTATAAAAGATATCGGTTAGGGATGAAATAATTATGTGGATAACTATAGCGGCGCAATAACATATATTATAGTGAAATGAGGTTGGAATCGAATATCCCCCCAGGGTTGGGCGGCAGGCGCGGATCCACGGGGGGGGGGGGGGGGCAAAAAAATGGTTAGAAAAAATGTTTTAAAAAAAACAACTAAAGTGGCCCCCTGGCAATTTACCCCCCCCCCCCCCCTCTCGGCTTATTCACCGACCGGATGATTCACTGCTACATATATCCTCACGAATTGCCCCCCCCCCCCCCCCACTCTTGCCGCCGGCTGGATCCGCTCCTGTTGGGCGGTATAATATTGTAAGCCAATAATTGATTGTCATATAAGCTGAGAAGGGTGGCCTACTAGCTATCCTGTGCCCCCGGCCCGGCCCGGCCACCATTGTCATTTTAATAGATTTTGTTCCTCCTCCAATGAAAGAAGATAGTCAGGAAAAGATTTGTGGGCTTTAGATGGGTTCAAAGGAAATATTGAATCAATATGGTATGAGGGCATTCATTATACATTGCATTGGTCAACCATGGACCGTACCACAACATGGGTCAACAAATTGTCTGTGCCCAGTTTGCTCGCCCGATCGGCTTTACACTGCTCGTCAGGCGCGTACGGGGGGGGGGGGGGGGGGGGGGGGGGGGGGGGGGGGGGGGGGGGGGGGGGGGGGGGGGGGGGGGGGGGCCCCCCCCCCCCCCCCCCCCCCCTAAACCCCTAACCCCCCCCCCCCAACCCCCCCCCCCCTAACCCCCCCCCCCCCCCCCCCCCCCCCCCCCCCCCCCCCCCCCCCCCCCCCCCCCCCCCCCCCCCCCCCCCCCCCCCCCCCCCCCCCCCCCCCCCCCCCCCCCCCCCCCCCCCCCCCCCCCCCTTTTGGATTTTTTTTTTTATTGTTATTATTTTTTATTTTTTTTTTATTAAAAAAAAAAAAAAAAAAAAAAAAAAAAAAAGATATTACCATGACTGACCTAAAAAAGCTTACCTTACCCCCCCCCCCTCAATGGAGGAAAATTTCAAATTTTCTAGACAAAAAAAATCCGTTCAGACGAGGAAAAGTGGGCTTACCGAAATTTTGGTTTTTAAAAATGTAAGCTATGTATAATGTATAATGTATAATGTATAAAGCTATAGGACCTGTGTATGTTCTGGTACCATGAGGATAATCAGGGATGTTATTTTAACGCAATATATCGATAGTTGAGTGAAAGGAGATATCATATATTTACTTTAAAAAAAAATTGATTTAAGGTTTAATCTTTTAGCATTTGTTTTCCCTTCGAAATTGGGATTTTTGTGTTGGCACACCAGTTTACATCGCATGGGCTCGGATAATAACTGTTGGATCGACAGAGAGATAGGTGGATAGATAGATAAAAAGAAAAAAGATGGTGATGGTTGATAAATAGATCGATCAAAAGAAGATACATTGAAAGACAGGTAGGTAGACAGGGCAGATAAAGTTACGTAGTATTTTATTTTATTTTTATTTATTCATTTCCTCTCATAGGGTGGATGGCCCTTTCAGCACAGCTGATTTTCAAAGGGGTCCACAAGTTAAGAAATGGTATCAAGGTCTTTACATAAATTATTGAGTAAACCTCAGCAGTATGTAGGTAGGTGTAGTGGAAAGATCATTAGATTGTAAGATATATAGTTCGATTAACGATAGATAGATAGAAGATAGAAATATAGATAGAAAGATAGATAGATAATTAGACAGATAATTAATATAAGGTGAACGGATGGATAGGAAGGTGGATTGACGGATAGATAGATAGATAGATAGAAGGATAGGTACGTAGGTGTGTAGGTAGGTAGGTGGACAGACAAATGTATAGAAGTATAGATAGGTTCAATTAGGTTTGTTGTTAGGTAGATAAATAGATGTTTTTAGGAAAATAGATCAAATAGAATGAATGGCAGTAAATGACCATGATGCCATTATTTAGCTAAGAATGGAGTGTTTACCAGTTAAGAAATGGTATCAAGGTCACATAAATTATTGAGTAAACCTCAGCAGGAAAGTATACTTTTACATGTATAGATATAATTATTTTCTACATAGAATATTTACTTATTAAGATAAGTAAATCATGAAGTGAATGGATAGTTCCCCCCCCCCCACATGAATATCATGAATGACGTCCATACAAAATGGCCTTACATTCGAGAGTTAATAATAATATAATAATAATTATATGGATTTATATAGCGCTTAATACGGTACTATATCGCCTCTAAGCGCTTTACAAATATTATAACCCCGGTCATCGGATTCATTCACACACAATGTGCACCATCTCCACTCCCTGGGAGTATTCCTACCATAATGGTCACCGTAAGGGCATAGGCAATTACTGACACAAATGCTTTCGTCATCTTACCAGGTCCACATTTCTCTCTTGGGTATTGAGTGGCAAATGTCGGGATCGAACCAAGACCTTTGAAGCCCCCTCGACTACGACACTTATACATGAGTTCACTTGGAACTCCGCATAAACCACTCGATTTACAAGTTATTCCCTTTAATTATATCTAAAGAGCATTACTCGCGAATATTTCCTGCAAATTATATATACAAATTAATATACATAATAATGTGTATGGGGGTGGTGTGTATATGCGCGTGTGTGTGTGTGTGTGTGTGTGTGTGTGCGCGTGCGTGTGTGTGTGTGTGTGTGTGTGCGTTAGAGTGTATGTATATTGTCTCGAGGATAAGTTACTTTCAGCGTAAAGCCATTAGTTCATTGGTGGAGGCACTTGACTCTGATAAAAGAGGTCCTGGTTCGGATCCTTGCTCGACGATTACATTATTGGACAAGATGTCTTACCCATACTTGTCCCTCTGTATTCAGGTGTATGCAATGGGTACTTAGCAAAGATAGGGTAATGATATTAGTATTATTATTATTAATATCATCATTGTTATCGTTACTATTAGTATTATGATGATATATTATCGTTAGTATTATTATTATTATAATCCTTATCGTCATTATTCAATCAATAACAATCATTCATATTCCAGCACCATTGGCGGCTTTCATCTCAAACCGAATATCTCGTCGATTGCTTGGGGCCGTGGGAGCCATTCTATGCAGTGGTGGAGTTATAGGTGCCTCCTTCTGTACAAGTATTACTCCTTTCGGCATATGCATGGCCGCCATTGGTAAGTGTGGAGTTATACATTTATCTTTCTGAGAAAAAAAAAATCAAAATAATTAATTAACCCTCGCAGAACAAGTAGGCCTATCTCTGGATAAAGCATGACAGGCCTTTAAACCCTTGCCTCTGTTTGGCTATTTCAATCGTATATACTTCTTTCCTTCACTTTTATCATGTTTAATATAATGATGAAATAGATTTAATTCAATTCAATTACACTGACATCAGAATAATCAACCTATTCTTTATCATGAATGATTGCGTTTGTCATTTTTCATACTATTTATTTAAAAACAAACATTAAACACAAAAGCGTATGTTTTCTTCTCTATTGTAGGTTTAGGGAACGTGTTCCTGTTGTTCACATTGACGACTAATCTCCATGAGCATTTCCCTGTCAAGTTTGATGTCATCAACACCATTTCACTTATAGGATCGCCATGTGGAGCGTTTATCACTCCAGTCATCACAGAAAACCTTCTAGAGATCTACGGTTTAAGTGGTACCATACTTATTCTGGGTGGATTTAGTCTGAACTTCATGATAAGTGCTCTCGTCCTAAGGCCACCTCGGGGTCGGAGGAGGAGGAAGAAGAAGAGTGATCAAGAAATAGAGTATATTCCCGTTCAGAAACTTGACAGAGACACCGACAGAGGTGAAGCGGTAGATGAAGCAAATGATCTCAGAGAAACTTCCACTCAGAGTGACACTGGAGATATTCAAATCAAACCAAAGACTACATCATTGATAACGCACATCTTGGATATCACAAATCTATCTGTATTGCGGAGAGTCCCAATTTTTGCGTTACTTCTTTTCCCAAACTTTTTAATGATGATAGTATGGATGGGTTGGACGCTGTTCCTTGTCCCTCACGCCGAGTCGTTGGGTATCAGTCAAGCTCAGGCTGCATACCTTGCCATGTTAGGTGGGATCGGTGGAATAACTGGCCTTATATGTACGTCAGTCTTCCTTATGTTTTACCCGCGGGTTGGTCTGCGTCTTCCTGCTGTTACCTCCCTGATCGGGTCGATTGTTTTCTTCCTCGACCTCGCAAGCAGCCAATACGTCTTCCAAGCCATCCATGCATTCCTCGTTGGTTTCTTGGTCAACCACACCATCGTCTACGTCCTAGTATGTGTTAAGTATGCCCTACCAGACGAGGACTTCGCTATGGGGTTGGGATTGGCGATCTTTGCCTACGCCGTGGGTAATATCCGCCCCATCCTGGTGAAATTCACCCAGTATAAGAAAAAGGCAGCCATGATGAAGGATAGGAGACGTCTGAAGGGTTCTGGAATCTCGATCCAAGAGGACCTGACTCAGACGAATCACCAGATCCTGATGAAGCTTGTCAACCACCCCAAAGTTGAGGCTGCTTGGTCCATCGACGGGAGGATCATGGCTGCCTTAAAAACCAGTGAGGAGGGAATTTCTATGAAAAGGGCCTTCTCTTCCCTTCGACAAGTTCTCAACCTTGTAATGAGTTGAAACGTTTTTAAATACCTAGTAACTCTCTATCAATCCCAGAGGTTTTGCACCAACTCTTTTTCTGAACATTTTTCTTGCTTGTAAGATTTTTCTTTCTTACATATTACACATGTATATATATCCATTGATCTTTTACTTTGTATTTAGTGTTGTGTGTGTGTTGATATGGGTGTTTGTGAGTGTATGTGTGAAGGCTCCTCCTCTACAATTTGATCTGTTCACTTGTTTGTTGTTTACTTATGTCCTCATGAACTTGAGTTCTATTACCTTGTTATACTTGGTGGTTTCCCATCAAAGCCCAAATTTTTATCATGGATGACAATGTTCAAGATTACCTTGATCATGTAGTCAGTGACTGCAAGTATATGGACTGTAGTGATTTTCAATGTAATAACTTAAGTAAAATATCCATTATGCATATAAATGCGAGAAGTCTTTTTAAGAATTATGAAGACTTTTTAGTTTTCTTGTCATGTTTAAAACATAATTTTTCTGTGATTGGAATTTCAGAAACCTGGTTCAAGCAAACAACAAATACGTGTTTGTTTGACATTCCTGGATATTCTCTTTTACAAGTTTGTAGATCTAATAAACGAGGTGGTGGGGTATTATTGTACGTCAGGGATGGTATTGATTATAAGTTGCGTACTGATTTATCGGGCGAGCATGCTGGTTTTGAGTCTATTTTTGTAGAGATAGCCATTGATAATGTGAAATCCATTGTTGGTTGTGTATATAGAGCACCTGATAATGATATTGCTTCTTTCATTCATTCTTTTGATTATCATATGCAGGTTATTGGCCGGGAAAAGAAAGATGTCTATCTTATGGGTGATTTTAATATTAATTTATTAAATTGTGATTCTGATGGCAGAGTAAAAGACTTTGTTGATTTTTTAACATCTTTTGGTTTATTTGCTTTGATTACTAAACCGACTCGTATTACTTCTACTACTTCAACATTGATAGATAATATTTTTACAAATTGTATTCAAGATGATTTTGCTTGTGGAATCCTTTGTTCGGATTTGTCTGATCATATGCCCATTTTTAGTATTAATAAAGGGAAGTCTCTTTCAAATGAAAAGGTAAATGTTACAGTTTTTAGACGTGTGATTACAAATGAAAGAGTTCAGAGATTTAAGCAAGATCTTCTTACTATTGATTGGTCTCTTCTTTATAGTCTTATTGATGTAGATGACAGTTATAATTATTTTTAAGAATTTTTGGTAACTTGTATGAATTTCATTTTCCTCTTGTTCGGTTGAGTAGGAAAAAGAAATGTAAAAAACCCTGGATCACCCAAGGTCTTCTGAAATCTATAAATCATAAAAATAAGCTTTATTGTAAATACATTAGGCATAAAAGTAAGGCGAATAGAAAGAAATATATAGACTATAAAAACACCTTGACTAATTTAGTCCGTAATAACAAGAAAAGTTATTATGGTGATGTATTTAAAAGTACACAGAGGGATATACGGAAGACTTGGTTTCATATAAATGATTTACTTGGGAGGGGTAAAAAGGATCCAATACCAGATGAAATGTACCACGGGGAAATTCATTTAAATTCAAATCTTGATAAAGCTGAATATTTTAATAAGTATTTTATTAATTTGCCTGCAAGGATAAGTAGAGAAATTCCACCTGTGCAGACATTATTTGAAGATTATTTGTTGCCTCGGGATAACCCATCCTCTCTATTTTTTAGACCAACAACTGTGCATGAGATTGTTAATTTTGTCTTAGATTTGAAACCATCTAAGTCATCTGGCTCAGATGATATTTCTCCTAGAGTTATAAAAGATTGTATGCATGTTATTGCAGGTCCGCTTTGTGATATATTCAATAAGTCAATGTCTCAAGGGTTCGTTCCTGATAAGTTAAAAATAGCAAAAGTAGTTCCAGTTTATAAAAAGAATGATCGTAAATGCATTGAGAATTATAGACCAATTGCCTTGTTACCAATATTTTCAAAGATTCTTGAGAAATTAGTCTACAAAAGATTAAATAAGTTTTTGCTTCTTAATGATGTTTTGATCCCCCAGCAATTTGGCTTCCGTAAAAATTGCTCCACTACTATGGGTGTTTTAAATTTGGTAAATACAATAATATGTGCAATTGACAGCGGGAATTATTGCCTTGGAATATTTTTAGACTTGTCAAAAGCATTTGACACAATTGATCATGATATACTCTTAAGAAAGCTCAATCATTATGGTGTTCGAGGTATAGCATTAAATTGGTTTAAAAGTTATATGGAAAATAGATTACAATTTGTTGTCGTTAATGGTGCCAAGTCTCAATCTAGCAATGTGAAGTATGGTGTACCTCAGGGATCTGTTCTTGGCCCATTGCTGTTTTTGATTTACATTAATGATATTATTAATTCGTCTCAATTATTTACATATTCTCTTTTTGCTGACGATACATGTTTGTTATATTCTCACAAGAATGTACACTCTCTTATGCAGTCAGCTAATACTGAAATCTGTAGACTCTTTACATGGTTTTGTTGTAACAAACTGTTATTGAATACTGGTAAAACTCAATGTGTAATATTTAGGTCTAGAGGGAGGAAAATCCCTGAAAATATTCACCCCTTAGTTGTTGGTGGTCAACAGATCAATCGCAGTCAACATGTGCTATTTCTTGGTGTTACGGTTGATGAATATTTATCATGGAAAGAACATCTTGATAAAGTATGTACTAAAGTGTCTCGCAGTACCGGAGTAATATCCAAACTTCGTTATTTCCTCCCCAATACACCTTAGTTACTTTATATAATGCTATTATTATGCCTCATTTGATGTATTGTAATATTGCTTGGGGTCACACATTTAGGACCCATGTACATAAGTTGCAAGTACTTCAAAAGAAAGTTGTTAGGTATATAACAAATTCAGAATATAGAACACCTAGTACTCCTTTGTTTTTGCAACTGCATATTTTGCCTTTTGATGAATTGGTATCTCTTAATTGCTTAATATTTATGTTTAAATGTCAATCACTCCAGTATACATTTTTGACTAATGTGTTTGTGGAAAACTCTTCCATCCATCATTATCATACTCGTCAGAGTAGCCTTGTCCATCAGTCATACGCCAGGACCCATACTGCCTTAAAATCATTTAGAACTGTCTGTGTTAAAAAGTGGAATAAGTTACCCCTTAATATAATTAGTATTACTACATTGTCTCGGTTTAAAATATCTTGTACAAAACACCTTTTCGACAGATTGCTATCAGATACATGAATGTATTATAAAACAAGATGAGGTAGCCATGTATGAAGTGCACGTTATGTGTGTGTGTGCGTGTGTGTGTGTGTGTTTGTGTATGTGTTGTAATTGGGGGGTGGGGTATACTCATCTGCATAATTTGTTATGTTGTTACTATAGTTGTTACATTGTTACATAAACATGAGTTATACTCGTTGTAAATATGTTACTCCTTGCCAATATCTGCCATTATATACCTACTGTATAGTCTACTATGTAAAGGGGCCCCGTTCACAAGCTGTGCTTCACTGGGGTCCCAAACCTATCATTCTTGTATTCCTTGATGTTATATCTTATACCATTGTTTATGTTTAATTTGGTTTGAATAAACTTGAACTTGAACTTGAATATCGTGGGAGGAATGGGTTCAGGTGAGATGACCTTATATCTAACCTAGAACTAGAGTTGGACAATTACCCCTGAACACCATAACCCTGGACGTTTACCTCAAAACACCAAAGATTGGCTTGACCCCTGGCCATTATCCTAACGATAGCCTTACTAGGAGCAGTAATTCCGGAGGGAAATCGTTCTGAGAGTATGAAATGGCCAGGGGCTGGTAATGTTACTGTCAAAGAAGCATAATTTCAAATGGCTAATTGTCCTGATATATTCTCTCCGGAAGTTGTCCTGATGACATATCAATATGTTCTTTTTGGGAAGCCGTCAAGGATGATTGATAAGGTAGTCATTCTAAATGGGAAATTGGTCTGAGGGGGAATTAAGATTGTCAGGGAGTGAAAGGAGCGGCTAATTGCCCGGATGGCATGTGTTCGTTTTGGCAGATGTCCTGATGACCTGTTAAAAATTGAACTATAGTTATTGTAAATTAGTGATAATATTCAAATTTTATTATATTAGGACAAACAGGCATGCCAAATATTAGGTTATTGATAACTCTAGCCCATTACGTATTCATTTAAGATAAAGAAAAGTGATTTATCCTTTCTTTCATGGTACGACTTTTTCCTATGCAGAATTGAATAATAAAAAAAGACAATCGTGTAATAAAAGGCCAAAGAAACAAAAACTATAATTTGATTAGTTTTTGCCTGTCCCATTTTAGTAACTAGGCCTTACCCTTTGTCTGAATTGTAGGGTACGTTCTTCCCATTTGCCATTTTCTTCTTATTATAGTTTTACTACTATCTCCTCCTCGAATAGATCCTGAGACATGCCTACAACACCCACTACACCTACGACTCCTGCAACTGACCCAGCAACATAGCTAGAAATTATATCCTATGCACACTTATCTGGTCTTAAACCCTTTCTCATTACTTAAAAAAAACAACGAGGATATTCAATTTACATATGTGTTCATGTCTGTCTTCTGTGAGAATTGTCTTTGTTATAATGTCTACTATCCCTATTCTTTTTTTCACTCTATATGTTCTCCAGGTCTGATATACGACTTGACGCAGGATTACAAGTTAGTCTTCGTTGCGTTAGGTGTAGCCGAGGTTCTCATCTCTTTCAGTTACATCTGTTTCGTCATTGCACAGAACTATCAGCGAAAGAAGAAAGAGGCGTTGACACTGGATGAAGCTAACGTTGCAGGGCATAAGCTTTAAAATAATGATTTTTTTTTTTAAACCAAAGAGGAATGGTTTGATGACTTATGATGGTGCTGACATGAATGGTGTAATTGCTGTTTGATTATTTATCGTCGGAATGTTATATCGTTATATTAATCATATTAATACCGTAGACCACTATTTACCTTATCTGATATTTGTACCTCTGAAATTTTACACCAATTTTCAAATTCATAGATGATCAATACTAATTTCGAAATTTGAATACTATATTTGTTATGCTTTTTTTAAACATTCCATTTATGTCATTATTCTTGTAAGTATTAAATAATTATGCTCACGTATACGTTCGTTGTTATCAGAACGCCAGATAAACTTCTCTATTGCTCCCATTTAGGGGGTTGATGCAACACATGTATAGGATTAACCCATACGAATATACACTCGGTAAAAGAAGAGAAAGTGGACTCTTTTTATTGTGAGCAATTTTCATATAAACCGCCAAAAATATAATAGAATTCAACCAAATTAAAGGAAAATTAATAATTTACCGACATCCATTAAGATCAAGTTTCAAACATTCACACTTGAATGGGCATATTCATTTCACCGTTAGAATATCCGATTAAAAGAAGATTACAAGTAAAGCAAGCAGCGATTCAAATGTTAATGAACATGTGCATCTGTATATTCTTGTTCAACATTGGAAATAAAGAATGAGAAACAATGAGAAAGTTACAGCTCTAGATTTCAGGTAATGTATCAGGACTGCAATGTTTTTAACATGCATGGTCAAAATGCCTCTACTCTCGCGTTCTCGAGATTGTTTTTTTTTTCTTTCACTGCTTTAATTTGACTCTACAAGATGGAAATGCTCATCAACATTTAAATGGCTAGTGCCCCATATTTTGCCATTTTCTTTCACCGACAGACTCATCTTTTCTTAATACCTATTTTAGCTCACCACAGCACTTCTTACTGTACCATATCCGTCTCATTAAATTGTCTTACAAGGTGAGAAAATACCTCCGTAAGTTGCAAAGTTGAATTGCTGAAGCTATATTCACTTTTGAGAATTGTTCGTTCGAATACCTTGTAAGGAGGATGGGATAACCCCTTTACAAAAGCAAATGAACATATCTTTGACGAACGAACCGATCTTGAAAAATACCTTCTCAACCTGATGTATATTGAGGTACCTAAGAGCAAGCAAGACAGGTATTTCAGTTGTTCAGTTGTTTTGCCATCTCACATAGATTTTCATTTGAATAGCAGCTGCATGGAAAATATTATTGATACGAAGTATATAACTTAAGATGCATGATGCAGCTGCATGGAAAATATTATTGATACGAAGTATATAACTTAAGATGCATGATGCACACAAAGAAAAGGCAATACTCGAGGTCAAAGTTGTTAATATATAATATGTTGGCATATAAAACTTTGTTGATACACATTGATATGTGTAATAATAATGTTTGTGCCTATAATATACACCTCAAGAAACGAATCACATACATGAAACAAGATATAAATATGTATTTCAGAAGCAACTATTGCAACGGGTTTATTTGTCACGTATTCATGTATTTCTTTGTGTGTGCGTTGTTTTGTTTTTGTTTGGTATAATAGCATATCAGCATATTATGTGCTGCTATTATTGTACGACTTCATAATTCTCTCTAGCATGCTAGATCGAAGACTATGCTTTTGTTTGTGATTTTTTTTTCTTCTACATTTTCTGTTCATCCATTTTTTTCTCCTACTACTTTGCTCTATCACTAAACAAGTAATTATCTTTATGAACAAAACAAGAAATATATGTACACTAAGCATAAAAAGTAACTCGACGCTCTTTATTGTTCCGAATTTTCGTATAAACCGTCAAGAAAATATGATAAAATATATATCAAGTTAAAGGAACATTAACACTCTACCAACATTAATTAAAATCAAGTTTTGAACTTCCACGCTTTTATGGGCATATTAATCTATTAATCCATTACAAGGTCTGATTAAGAAAATTGCAGAAAATAAGAGCAAGGAGCCATTCAAATGTTAACGAACATGTGCATCTGAGAGATATTCTTTTCCAACAATGAAAACAGAGAAAGAGAAACAATGAGAATGATTGAGCTCCAAATGCCAACTGTTGTTTCAGGACTGCATGGTTTGGACAAGCACGGTCAAGAGACATCTCCTTTCGTGCTTCTCGGGATTGTTTTTTTTTTCTTCACTGTTTTAATTTGACTCTGAAAGAGTGAAATGCACATCGACATTTGAATGGCCAGATGCCTCAGTTTGCGATTTTCTTTCAGAGACTTATTAATTGTTAAATGGCTATGCTCGCTCATTCGTGAATGCTATGATTACAATTACATATTATCTTAAAGAAGATGAATTTTATGTTTATTTTGATATATGAAAGATAACTTTATATAAAATGTTTATGAGAAGAATGAATTAAAAGCGTTGTCTACTTTTTTGTTGTTGCTTATTAAAGTGCAGAAATATTTACCATCCTTTTTCTCACTCTCATTCCCCATCTTTCTTTAAAAAAGGAAAAGGTGTGATAACAGTGTGACAATAAATTTGATATACCCTTATCCTGTCCAAAACATGCCAACATCTGCCGGGTACAATACATCTCATTGCAGAAGAAAAAATATACAGCTGTTCCAGTTTTATATATATATGCCATTTATTCATTTGGAATGAAATTTCATCATCTACAGAGGGAATTAAAATAACAATATGGTTACAACATTTTGTGGCCAATATGCTAATTGGCTTATTACAGTTTATTACAATTTGATACAATCAAAATTTAAAATCTATGATAATCTTACAAAGCTTATTCGAGCACATGATTTATATACAGCAGGTTCATAAAATTAATATTGTATATGATGATTTATAATTATAAAATTCATAAGGCAACATATATAAGTATTCTATTTGTCTCTATAAATCAATTAAATGATTTTGATGCAGCACATTGCGTTAAGTATACCTTACACAGACAAAAATCAAAATGAAATTTTCCCACATTATCACAACTAAAATAAGGCATATTGTTAATCATACGAAAGAGTTGTGATTGATCAGATTGAAAGACTATACTTATCACTACAAATTGAACATGAAAATCTCAACTAGTCAATCAATCATCACTTCTTCAATTTTTGGCATAATTATTTACCATCCATTATTGACATGAAAGATACATCTTAAGTTTGCTCATATACATCTGAGCCAGAAAAAGAAGTACATTTTTCACTGAATCGGTTGCCCCTTTTGAGAAGGTGGTTTTGATCAAAGCTCGGTTGCATAAAACTTAGCACTGATTGTAACTTTGTAACATGGAAATCTTGATTTGATTGGATGTTGAGTGATGTTGCCATGGTAGTAAATACTGATGGCAAAGTTATGATCAGTAGTATTTTGTATGCAACAGGGTCCTGATCATTCATGCTATCATATCATGTTATATATTACACAGACAGGCTTTGTATCCTTGGGTATGTGTTAATGAGTGAATCATACATATGTTAATGCGATTTATTGAACAATACAGCATATCGTCGAATCAGGATCTATCATTTATGGACTTAATGAATTCTTGGACAATTTTGATTCGTTAGATTTCTCAAAGCACAAACTTTTAAGGAAAATATATGCCACCTAGAAATGAGCTATAATCTCAATAAAATCAATAAAAATACAAAACTTCTAGAGCATTTTGGTCTGAAAGGCAAATGATACAAATTTATTGAAGTCATGGTATGAAATCATTTTATTAGGATATCAAATTATTCAATTCAAATGATTTTCTTATATCCTTTCATGTCCTATTTAAAATCTATAAAAATGAAAACCTAGATATTTTTACGCAATAAAGTCTAAAAATATGTTAAAAGATCATATTGCTAGAAGAAATGAAAGAGTGAAGCAATAAGTTAGATTCAATATACAAACAATATTTAAAACAAGGATAATTCATATAATTAAATTAAGCCCCTGTAATGCACCCATACTTCTCTAATAAGAACAATTTCAATGCATAAATATCAAGACTTCTCTGAGGAAAGTGCAAAGAAAAAAGAATATTGACATTACTGTTTTTTGGTAATCAAATTAGCATGATCATCATGTCATGATCCTGTCATTCCTTTTTCTTGAAATCATCAGAATATTTCAACACAAATGTTGTACTTCTTTTTTAACCATTGAAAAAAAAATCCCAAGACAGAATTCAATCATGTTTCAATGTTCAGTGTATTCTCATACTTTTTGCAATCTCCTGGAGGCTTCAGTCTATCTTTAAAATCACCTAAAACAAACAATACCATTTTTTGAGAGCAATTTCATAAAGAAGACGGGTCTTGGACAGCTAAATACAGAAGGAAAGAAGGGAGATATTGACATAAATATATACAAGGAGTTAAGCACCATATCCAAATTTTAATATCGACATAAAATTTGTTATTAACTTACGTCTGGGAGCATCAGAAAAAGAAGTACATTCAATACCTCCCAAGACTGAAAACTTGAAGTTAATAATTACATTAATATGAGAATTTGCTTTCGATTGCAAATGCTCTCAGTTCATATAGATAAATCTACATGATGTACGTCATGTATATGTATATCCTGTACGGAAATTGTAAATGCATAATTGACAGAGATGACTGTAATCATAACTTTTGAGAATGATATATGTATAAGGAAAAGTGGAAGGCAAAGGAATTAATTATTTTATCCATGAAAGATAATTGAAATCTCTATTCATGGAAGACAGATTTAAATTCCTTGTAACTTGAATTTCATAAGCACCAAATATATACATACATATTGACTCCATGTGACAAAAACTAAAAAGAAATCAGAAACATAAGAAAACAGGCTCCATATTCTGAGTAATGGCAAAAATATAACTTTCAATTGGAATTTAGGAATAATCAAATGGTTCTTCATTGGAAGTATACTCAGTCATCTGCAATATGTTGTAAAAAATGGAACAGTATTTGATTTTTCATGAAAAATATAATGTTGTTCTGCACGAACATGTAAAATATGTAGACAACATATCTCTTTTTGCTGATATTTATATGGGCCAAAAATTATTACCATTGTTTCGTGTTGAGTCTTTCTCTCTCTAAATATGTAACTATTCATATGCTGGTAAAAGCCTCGTAACAAATACTGTATGTTTTTCCGTCATATATTTCCTCAAATAATAGATGTTTAAATTATTTTATTTGTTTATTTTTACTATTAAATTTGCTGATTTAAATCAATGTTGGAAAAAAAAAATTAGGGAAAAGATGGAAATAAATGCTATTTCTACCAAAACTAAACTATACAGGATCTATGATTTATGTACAGTTGAAAATATATAAATTTCTACATTCCATTACATACATTATTGTTTGTTACATGTACACAATACAAAGAAAATTGTACAACTTTACTCATCATTTCTAAATGTGTAAGAAATGGTAAGAAATGTTATAAATAGCAATTTAGTACATACATACAATTTATGTCTTATATACAAGCATAATGAAACCATCACCAGTTTGTATTCACAGAGACCTCTTGTGGTCTGCTGTGTGAAAGGCATGGTACAAACCAAAGACACTTACAAATTATTCTTGAAACGAAGAAGCAGATAATTCTACTGAGTTGATCAAGAGAAATGGAAAGACAAATTCTAATGCACTGCTGAAATAATGTTTTATTATAAGAAACCATCTATTCTATGTAAGAAAAATAAGGCACTTTAAAGCTTAGATAAAATGGAAGTCCTAATGAAGAAAAGAAAATAATAAACTGTCAAACCAAGCAATATTACCCAGTAATTGACTGTCCCATGGTATCTCCAGTGCTTCATACACAACACTATTGTTTAACATTCTAATATTCTACTATACGCTTTTTGTTTGTTTATGTTGTCAAAACCATAATGCTTAGAGTAAAGTGTTTACAACCGTCTCCAACACTAGCTAACCAGTCTTTGAGTAATATGACTATAACCATTTGCATAGATCACCAATTGCCAGATAACCCGACTACAATGAGAGATCTACAAACGGAGGAGTGTCGGCGGAAATACTTTTCTTTTAAATAATAGATGTTTCATGGTAAAGATATATACCAATCTCCATGTTTGACAAGTGCTGTGAGCCTTCAATGCCAGTTTAACAAAGCTGCAGGGAAAGTTTGAATTGCATGTGCTCAGACATATGCTCTTGTAAAAACTGCTCCGGGTTTTATGTCACCAAAGATGTAGGTTTAAGGTTAGCTTTGGTGTTATGATTACAATGAAGGGTCAGGCAGAGTGTTTGGTCCATGGTTGAAGTTAGACATTCATTTTAGTGTAGGATACTGACCGAGGAGATATGGTTGCCAGAGCATGTGTCGCACAACCAATTTTTATTTACATCATTATTAAAACACACTTTACTTGAAAAAAATCAATCCATGACATTTTTCAGAGTATCAAGCAGAACTCACTTTGTCTTACTGGTATGTGAATTGTATAATGTCACACTTTCTTCATTTACAAATTTATGACCACAATAAAACATATATTCACAGATCAATTGTAAAAAAAAAGAATTACAAATATTGCATAATTTCTTTACATATATTCCTGGATTTGTACAGGATTGTTCTTGCAGGAAGACATGAAGTAAATGATTTTCACAAACATGTACATCTCTGCAAAGTGCCGTTAATCAAAACTTGACAAAAAACCCACATAAGCAATCAATTTTTAATGGATAAAAGGTACCGCTGTATAATTGCCTCTATTTTCAAACAACAATATGATAGCAAATAAGTTGGTTTTGTTCAAGAGTAGTTTTTAATGTGACCACGTTTCTCCCTCAATTCATCTTAATTCATCTCTACTTGAGATTTTGTGAAGATAATTTAATGAACAATTTAGTTGGTATTCAGAAATAAAATGTGATAAATTATTAATAACATGAGTTATTCGATGGCAATAGAGTTGTGTGTGGTCAAACTGACATATTTCTGCAAAGTATAAAAAGAATATATCCATACATCCTAATCGTATAACATTTATGAGTTTAAATTCATAATCAAGTTAATTAGTCATATGATGGTAAACTAATTACAATCATCATAATACCATCAAATAATATTCTTATTAGAGGGCAATTTCATTGGTCTATTATGATTGTTTGCTTTCTCATATATATTGCTAGGTACAATCCGATGCATTCAATTTTTATTTTAGTGACACAGAAGGATATTGGAGGGCAAATCCAACGTTATCCCTTTCATACGGGTTAAAAGTGTGATGCACATTCCAAACACTACCGCAGAGATTTAAATAAGCTGCATAGCAACATACCCTCAGACTGAGATCACATGAAACAATAGAAATAAAAAGGAAGGGAAACATTTTCTGTTGAGAACCAGAAGGGCATTTACTCCATGTGGAAGGGTAAGAGTTAATGTCCTTCTTCCTTTCAGCAGATGATGAAGCTCCTGGAATACCATGACAAGGATCTAGTTATAAGGTTGATGATACTGGGTCCTGTTTGGTCAAAAATCCATGATGTCCATTTGAAGAAAAGAAAAAAAAATCCTGAGAGCCATTCCAGATTTTTTGTTTATTTTTGTATTTTTTTGTTTATATGGGGGGGGGGGGGGGGGGGGTAGAACTGGTCCAGGCTCTCTCCCTTTTTTTTCTTCAGAGAACAAAAAGCATTTGCCACCTGAATAATTACATTTTTTGGGAACCCCCCCCTTCATTTCTGGATCTGCCCCCGGCCCCCATTGCTGACCAAAATGATAAATAAATCTTACAGCACTTAGATCAATAACCTTATAATCTTTGATGATTTCACAATCATGATTCCAGTATCCGAGTACATTTCAGAAAACAGTTGCCCCTTCAGCCGTGTAATTTGCCGAAATTAAGCCCCCTTTTAAAACAAAACCATGGATACGCCCCTGACTGAGAGGACATCTGTTAGAAGCCCCCATAGCATATCATTACCGCACTGTTTTATAAGCCCTCTTGAGAGTTGTCTGAGCATCTTTGAACCTTGGCCTGTCTTCATCCACCATCTTCCAACAATTATCCATCAGTATCCTCACCTCCTCAGGGGTGATCTCAGGAGGAGGCATCCGGTAACCTAGCAACATGACAACAAAGGTTTCAAATTTCATACAATCATAGGCTTCAATTCACAAAGGAGGTTTGGATTTGACCCATGGTTTAAAATGAGCGCAAAATAAGCGCGACACAAGTCAGAGGTCCAATATTAGACGCGCGCAAGGCAAGGTATGCTTATTTTGCGCTAATTTTTAACCATGGGTTAGGTAAATGAGAGTTTAAACCATGGGTTAAATCTAAACCTCCTTTGTGGATTTGGGCCATAGGGTGGTATTCTCATAAGTTAAGCCGGGACTAAGTCCAGACTAAACAAGAATTTTAGTTCACACTTCTATGGAATGCTAGGTTTCACCTTCCTCCTTCAATATTCATGATAAAGATAATCTACCAAATATGTTGTTGAAATTCACTTCATACTCATAATATCTTTTTCATCCCATTTCATTGCAAAATTAATTTTTTGGACACTTTTCATTGAAGGATTAAAATAATCTGTACAGGGTAAATTAGTTTGCAACAGGCACTCCATAAAAGTATGAACTAACTTAAGTATGCGCTAACTTAGTACGCGCTACTGGAATACCCCCCATAGTGTTTTATTAAAGCAATAGTTTGATATAGTCTATGTGTGTGCAGTCATGCAGCTTTAACTATCTTATGCAAGTTGGGGGGGGGGGGGGGAATCAGGGGTTATTATGAGCTTCATTACGTGCATGGCCTATGAACAAGCTTTTCATTTCTAAAATACTTTCATTATAATACTTTTGCATTGGGTTCCAACAGAAAGACTTAACACTTTGGTATTCTGTGACAAAGTGGAACATAAATTTTTAAAAAAAGGTGGATCATGCCACATATCTAAAAAAGAACTTGAAGGCTGTTCACATGTCAAGGTAAACCGCATGGTAAACTGCTGCGGCTTATTGCAGCAGTTTTTTCTTAATGACATAAGCGTAATGCATTTCACATTTCTGTACATGTTATAACATGCAGATAAGACCTTCTGTTACTAAAAGCTATTTTTGTTTTTATTCTCTTATCATCCACTTGCAATTAAAAAAGAAAAAAAAATGCCACAGTCTCCCACTTCGTTGAACCCTGAGAAACATTTGATTATGTTTTTACAAACCTTGCTGTACTTTCTCCCTTGCTTCATTGTTTGTCATGCCGGGGTAAGGCGTACTGCCGTTGGAGAAGATCTCCCATAGTAGTATACCAAAGCTCCATACGTCAGACATTGATGTGTATTTACCTGGGAGAGACACAAAACAAATCAAGATTCAACACATGCGTCATTAATTTGACCACTTTCACATTTTGTTCAGAGTTCACAAACATGAGATGGCGTTTTCGACCTTACAAGATTCAATATAAGCCAACAGTTTGCAGGTGAGAAGTTTCAGGGTGAAAAGATGCACAGAAATAGTGATTTCACAAATTGCTTTGAATGCAGCGTATTCTTTCTTCTTGTCTAGATAATAAGATTACTCCTACATTAAGATTTGATTTGGAGTGCAATGAAACACATATTAATGAATAATTTGCCCTGCCAAATGTCTAATGCCCTTGCCTTGAAATCCGCTGCGTAGCAGAGCCGGGGTAATAGCGCCTTGAGCACCATGCATGGTGGATATGTGCACTATATAAAAATCCAATATTATTATTATTATTATTAAAAACAAAGTTGAAAATGACCTTTTATGATAAAAACTACAATAACTTCTTCTGTGACACTTCAAAGGCACCATGCCATGGCTTAGCTATCACTCCAGGGGGTGTTTCACAAAGATCTTAAGTTGTACTTAAAAATTATGGAGAGCCATTTGTAGCCTAAAAATAAAATATATTCAAAAGCAGAAATTCAAGTATTTTAGACTTTTTATAAATTCCACATCACGAACAAGAAATCTCCTTGATAAAATAAAATATGAATGATTTGAATTAACATTTTATGCCTTTTAAAATAACTGTTACAAAATAATTTCAAAGATGCTAACGGCTTTCCATAATTGTTAAGTCCAACTTAGAGATAAGTTCAACTTAGGATCTTTGTGAAACACCTCCCAGGGTGTAATCCTGGGTAGGTGTGAACTCACCAAAGTTCATAGCCTCCGGGGCAGTCCACTTGATAGGAATCTGCCTCATGGCGCCCTCACGTATCGTGTAGACATCATCTTCTCTCGACATACCAAAGTCACTAATCTTGATCACGTTCTTGTTTCCAACCAGGCAGTTTCGTGCGGCTAAATCTCTGTCAATCAAGCGACATACATGCAACCAAGATCATCAGACAATTGTTGTTTTTTTTCATACCGAAGGAAGCTATTCACAGGGTCTGGCCAACATGTATATTTATTTCACATATACTGAGATATACATGTACATGTAAATACCATCATTATATAAAAATATTTTCTTGACACTGAAGGAAACTATTTCACTGAGCCTGGCCTATTTTCTCTCATATTCTTTTAATGGCCCCGATATACTAAATAACGAGGAAAATTAGTGAAAAGATTAAAGAATTGACAATGATATAAATATACTTTCACTAGAACTAGATGCGCTACGTTCAGTACTCTTCAAGCAAATTTCACAATCATTATTATAATGTATATAACTACATTTTACATGTGTACAGTATGTGCACCATCTTCATATCTCAGAGAGCATTCCAATCTCATACACTTTACGTGACACACTGACAAATATTTTCCATCAAATTGCCTTGTCAGTTCCTCAATCCATCCAGGGTACATAACACAACAATCTCTGAGTAATTTCACAATCATTATCCCAGTATATGAACATGAAATTCATTTACAGTATGTGTATTAAATGTGCAGATCTCCATATCCCAGAGAATATTCCAATCCCGTTGATTCAACAAGAGAGACCTCTTTTGTCAGTTCCTCAATCCCTCAAGGATAAAAAGCAGATACATAGCTCTAAGATGATTTAATATAATATACTGTTAGAACTTTCAGAAGATAATTTCATCTATTCACTTTTGACTTCATTCTTACAGACGAAGCTGAAGACCCAGTTCAATATTGTCTAAAAAATGACAAGCTTCGCTATTACTTTATCCCGTTAAGCACTTTGTAAACATATCTTTTGCAAATTATGCTCTGTAAGATAGGTACAATGATATTCAGAGAAAGGACAATTGGGGTTGGGATTTGAACCCAGGACCCTGATTCAACCACTGGACCCTAGCAGGTGCATGGGTTGCACTGACCTGTGTATACATTGCTTGGATTCGAGGTAAGCCATTCCAGAGGCAGCATCCTCACCCATCTTGACTCTCTGCTTGGTGGACAATTCATTCTGATCCGTCCTCAGGAAGGACAGCAGATCACCACCTGGGTATGATCGGGAGAGAGAGAGAGAGAAAAGAGCAAATGGAGTAAGATTACATAGAGGATACAACATTTTGTAATACTCCCAGAATAGAAGGCGGATTTCACCTTGTTTAGGTTGCTATTAACTCATTGTAAATGCATGCATAGGATAATGTGCTGTTTGACAGAAAAGAAAAGATTGCAGTTAGATTGAGGTAGCGGCAATTCAACATTTGTTCAGATAAATATCATCAAAGACACAGGGGCAGTGCTTGGGCTGTGATTGAGTTTTAGGTTAGGTTTTGGGCAACCCTGTCATCGATCATCGGATTTTCGAACACTGAAATAAGACGCGATCTGATGTGATTATCAAGAAGCCAAAAAAGCCCCAATTTTTTGTTGGCTTTTTTGTGTGTGGCTTTTGGGGCTTTTTTTGCTTTTTGTTTACCAGATCAGATCGCGTCTTATTTCAGTGTTCGAAAATACTTTCATTTTATTACGAGGCACAGTTGAAGTGCTTGTGAACTAAGTTAGACCTAGTAACAATGTTCTTTTTAAAATTAAAAATGACAGATTTTTTTTTGTCTTCCAAATAAATTAAGACATGTACATCATTGAAAATGGTCATGGAAATTTACATTATCCTGCTCTGGAAAGTCATGCAAAGTCAGGGAATTTTAAATTTTTTACAGGGTTAGGTTTGGGTTAGGGTTCAGTATGATGTTGGGTTCAACATTGAAGTTTGGAATTTGGATAGTGTGCATTGAAATGTAGAAGAAGGAGAAGGATGAAGAGGAAGAAGAGGAAAAAGAGGAGAAGCATGGAGAGGAGAAAGGGAAGAGGAGGAGAGAGAGAAAACACATTACCAGGAACAAGCTCCATGACAATATAGATGGGATGCTTATCAGTACAGACTCCAATAAGCTTCACGATGTTGGCGTGGTCGTACTGTTTAAGGATGTTAGCCTCTTGGAGGAACTTTCTCCTGGTTGCCGCATCAACCGTCTCCTTGCATGTTTTGACTGCCACTGCAAGCTGCGTCCTCTTTATCCTACCTCGATGGACGTCACCAAAATGACCCTTTAAAGACAGGATGAGAATGAGGAAGAATATGAATCCATCGGTCACTGGCCAATGAAAACAAAACTTGCAAACTTAAAGAATTTCATCTAGAATTAAGGACAACAAGAGATGGATATGTTTTTCAGATACCACAGCAACAGTTTGAATGGACTCTTTATATATTTCACTATACAGGTATGTCTTTGTCTTATTGCTTTAAAGCCACATCAATTAACAGTGTTACCTAAGCCCTGTCTACAGCCTCCCAATATAACTTGAAGCATCTCAAGGGTACACAAAAAATCTGTACGAGAAGTCAAGGTGTTTATACACCTACCCCCTTGAATTGAATCACTCGTCTATATTGAATTTTGTTTGAAATTTAGATTACACCCTTTAAGAGCTAATTTATTCATGCAGAAAACATATTCTGTATCAAATGTATTATCAACAAAGACATCAACATTGTCATCAGCAGCTGCATCATCATCACTGTTTATATCTTTATCATCAATAATCTTATCATCTTCATCTGTAGATTTACCCCTATTCAATCATCCCTTGCCCACCACAAGATACATCAACACAAGAAAATTTTGCTCTCATTCAACGTTCATGGATTGTGCAAGTAGTTCAATTTTATGACAGTGTCATGCCGTGAAATAATTGAATCACAATGAATAGAACATTACACTTTTGCCCTTCCCAAAGATTTTTGCAGAGAAAATTGGCCATCCAGAACGATTTGCAAAAGTTTCATGTCTCTAAATGTTCAGGTTATACTCACTGCCCCCAACTTCTCCTCGAGATCTATCTCCTCATGTCTGAGATCATGTTCGTTTCTGACCCGACACACTGGCTTGAGTAGGATGGCTTGTGATGCCTTGGTTACGGGCTGTCTGCTGTTCAGCTGGAAACGGATCAGTTCTCCCACGGTCTGGAAAGCATCACCTTCTAATCGATACATATTCTGCATGACAGAGAAGAGAAGAGAATCAGAAGTGCCAAATGTTATACTGCTAAACTCATTTACAATGAACTCTTCGATTGTCCCCATTCATTTAACGGGGCGTTGTGGTGTGCGCCTGTAATCCAGCTAACAATGGAAGTTACAAACTGATTCAGCCGAGGACGCAGGTTCGAAACTCGAGTCACGTCTTTTGGATGGTGACGTTAAAGGTCTGTCCCCAGACGTAAATAATAATATCTGATTGATACACGTCTGTAAAAACCCAATTACACACACACACATTTAGCTTTGTTGCACTTAATAAAACAGAAAAATTCAGGGGAATTGAAGTTTTAGATGATGAATGGTAGACCTAGCTTTCTTTATTTAATGAACTACTTACCTCATCATTTATCTGGATAGGGAAGTGTCGGACTTTGCTAGCATGCTTGGCCGATAGGACATAGCGCCCCCAGGCATCGCTCTTCTCTCTCACAACAAAGTCCCCATCATTGACCAGCAAGGCTTCCGTCTCTTTCCTCGGCAATGCCCCATGGTAGAACTCTTCCTCCTCAAGACGAAGCTCTGTAGGTTGGTTATTGCTTGGCTAGATTTCGAAAAAACATACAAACATTATCCTTTGTGTCAAACAATATATGTTCTTCATTCCAAGAATTTGTTAAGATTGCAAAAGGAACTTTTCTCAGGAAAACTACACTATTTATCTGTGCATTCCCATAAACTCTATACTTTCTTTTTATTCTGTAGAATTTTTCCACTATTAGAAATGAAAATAAAGTGACATATGTATCCTACCTATCTTGACATCACACAAGGAAAATCTTGGTTTCAAGGTTACTGGTAGAAGTACCATTTTCATTGATTTTCAAATATTGATCTCATGAGCCTAGATACTCATAATCACAAGGTTTTAATCACACAACTTTGGTTTCATTTTTTAAATATGTCAGCTTTTTTTATTCTGGGGGGGGGGGGGGGGTGACTAAAGAAGAAAAACTGTTGGTACAAGTTACAAGTAAAGGCACTTAAAGGGAGAGTGGATAACTTGTCTCAGATTCTGAAACAAAATCCTAGATTTAGCTCATGCTGCCATGATAATCATAAACCTTTAGTCAGTCAGGAACCCCAGGACTTTTGCAAGCTAATCGCCTGTCTGATTATCAAGATATTTATGAATGTAGATCAAAATCAAATTTTATGTTTTCTTGACGGTTTTTATTACACTACAGTCTATTGGGAAAAACGATCAAATGGTAAAACCGGTCACTCAAAGATTTTACTTTTTTGAGGCACTTTTTGATCACTTTGAAGCGCAATTTTGTAGCGCTTCAATGTACACCATATCGCAAACACTGATAACACGTAGGGCCATGCATCTCAGATTTAACATTGTTAAACGATGCCTTTAAATTTATTGCATGTGTTTCCTCCATTTGTAAACAGAAGTAAAATGCCTGCAAACTTACAAGTGGTAAAAAGTTTAGATGCTAGTTTAGGATATGAATCACACGATATTGAAACTGACACTTTGGCTAGTGATCCTTCAAAAAAAATTACTTTTAAAGGTATAAACCAGTTCTGGTCATGCGATTGCATTATGAAAGAAACGTTGTGGAATCGATCAGAAAAGGTTGATTATCTAGCATATAAGTATTGGTGTACTGCAAGGTGCTGAAATCATCAAAATGATAAGAAATTTGGCTCAGTCTTGGTAAAGTTACAAGCACTGTACACAGAAAGATGTTTATGGGACTAACCTATATCTATCCAGTCCCGATAGATATAATAATTTACCGAATATATCAATTAGTAGGCGGTTTTCCGGCAAAATTTGTATCACCACGTATTAGTCAAAACATAAGAGCTTCCATTTCATTTTTTGACATGGAGGCATTTCCAAAACTGGTCTTTACCTTTAATCATTTCACAGACTATTGCACAGTTACGTTATTGTTGAAGTACATCATATTAAGGATTGCCTTTATCAAATAGATGTATTGTATCACTAGTACTGTTTTCACACTGGCAAAATTTTACTTAACCCTGTACTATAGGTGGGGTTAAGGGGGGTCTTAACCCCACCTATAGTCCGGGGTTAAGCTTATTCCACTTTCTGTTCAGACTCATATTTACCAAAGTGGGCTAGCCCCACCTATATAGTACGGGTTAGCTGGCCCTGCAAAATAGCAGGGCTAACCCAGCAATTGTGGTGCTTACTCCGGTGCCAAGTAAATGAATGAGAATAGAAATGAAAAATAGTCTGGTACTACGCAACAGAGCGTATCGCAGCTGGCCAGATGCGAAGTAAGCAGCCCACTGTCCAATCATAACATTCACGATATCCGGGGCTAACGAATTGCAGTGAGAACAGCATGAATTTTCTTATTCCGGAATAGGCGCTAGTACGGGACTAAAAACAGCGTGTGTGAAAAGCCAAAAAAGTTAGTCCGGGGTTAAGGATAGTACGGGGCTAAGCAAAGTACGGGGTTAAGCAAAACCAGTGTGAAAAGAGTAATAGAGATGTACTACTTAGTACTGACAATAAAAGATTGACATATATGTACACACACACAAAGAGAAAAAAGCATTTTACAATCTGCTCCGTCACATATATCGCCATGGCCACCATATTCCCGACACCATGATGTTCCATTCCTCTATATAATAACGCTGATCAATACAGATCATGTAGCACCACATGCTATATGCTATACCAATGAAGTATAGAGAAATGCTATTATTGTCCAGACATGCAGATAGAAAACATGCAATACTGTCTTTTACCATCATGTTGATGACTTGAGGATGACGATGGCGATGATGATAATGATGACTAAGATCATAAGATGATGATTTTATTGTTGGCGATGATTAAGATATTAAAGATAAACTTCAGTTCTGGTAATCTGATTGCATTGTGAAAGAAAAGGTGTGGAATGGATCAGAAACATTACTCAGGCAGTATACATTTTCTTCCAAAATTGTTTGGCACATGTCATTTATTTGTAATCTTGAACATTCAGACGTAATATTCGTTTGATTCTGTGAGAATTAATTTTCTTTTTTTTTAACCAGAACTGGAGTTTATCTTTAAGGGTAGTTGTGATGACAATAGATGATTATTCTATTGATATGGATGATGTTGTTGTTGTTGACAATGATGATGACAATGGCAATGATGATGACGAAAATGATGAAGTATGAAGGTATTGGGGATGATGACTAAGATAATGATGGTGGTGATGACAACGATGATGAAGGTGATAACTCTTAACAATAACTATGATGATGATGATGATGATGATGATGATGATGATGATGATGATGATGATGTCATGATGATGATAATGTTAAAGATCACAAGGAGTAGTAGATGTATGTTTATAATTACAATACCTATGATGACGTGTTTTTCAATGAGGTGATGATTATGATAACACGATCAAGATTTTCTTAATGTTTCTCTTGATGATTATGATGATGACGATGAAGATGACTATAAAGATCATATTGAATACAATGGTGATGACCAATGCTATAGACACAGACAGAGCAAAGATGCACCCATCACAGAGATTGGATATCCCTTAACATACCATGGCCATGCTCATCCTTTTCTCTTTCTGTATTAAAATGATACGGACATGCTTAATGCCCTACTTGTATACTGGTATACATTCCTGTGATATAAGCTTGTCATCACTGTTTAATGTTGCACAAATATATCATATCGTTTCTTTTCTATATTTTTACAATTTTATAACTTAACCATAATTACCTGCTTTAAAATACATCAGTTTCAACAAATTTAATATCCAATTTAAGTTTCTTTTTTTGTGTGCATGACATACAAAATTTACAATGTACTATAAAAATGAGAATTTAAGAATAACAAATCATATATTATATTATGACCATTCAAATAAACTCCACTGTGCACCACAACGTACCATACATACATGAAATGACAAGTAAGTCTCTGAATAGTACATTTCACATCAAGAAGCTAAGATATTTGAAAACTTAATTTTTCAAGATTTCATTTCAATCAAAGCAAATCTAATAATCATGCACATGATCCTTCAAACAAGGAAGAAAGTCTTGTCATTCAAGTTTTCCAATTCATTCCCATAACCAATGCTTCGTTATTATGATCATGCTTAGGTTACCTTCACACTCACAGCCATCATGGACTGATTAGTCTGTCTTCTGTACCACAACCATGGTTCCCGCTGAATAGTATGATTAGTGTGAACATTATATACAGAAAACTAGTAGGGTTGTTCACATCATAGACTGATCACATCATAACCACGATTCCCGCTGAATAGTATGATTAGTGTGAACGTCATATACAGAAAACTAGTAGGGTTGTTCACATCATAGACTGATCACACCATAACCATGGTTCTCTCTGAATGTTATGGTCAGTGTGAACAATACATACCAAAATATAATAGGGTTATTCACTTCATAGACTGACTAGTCCGTCTTCTATATCATTCATAACCATACTTTCCCCTGAACAGTATCTGTATGATTAGTGTGAACACTTACTACAGAAAACTATTAGGGTTGTTTGCACCTAAATGTTAATCATGCTTTACTGGTACCAGTTATTAGTACTACATAATCAGCATAATGAACTAAACTTTAACTCTCTTTTTTATCTAATGATATTGTTAGAAGTTTAAGACTAGCAATATTGATGCAGATTGATCACAAGTCCTCCAATCAATCACAGACTCCTAGCTCTTTAGTACAAAGTTACGATTGATATCGATTTTGATCAATTCAAATCAATCCAATCACTTCATTAGATGGGCCCCCGTTCTCTTGACATGCAAATCCTCTTACCAGAATACAAAATTAACTTCACTTGAAAATGAAGAAGATGAAATGGCTCAGAATCTTACCTCATGTGAGCTGTCATGTCCGGCTCTCACTTTGAAGATCTTAGTCATCTTATTAGCCATGTTCGATCTCTTACTTTTCTGTTCTGTCGTCGAGTCTGTGCTCTGGTAAATGACAAATGGATTAATTAATCATTTACAAGTCAGCTGGGTCTAAAATCTTAAGAATTTCATTAATAACAATAGGACAAATCAATGACTTTGAAAGTACACTTCATGTACCGTAAGATAAAGTGCATTTCACATTTCTGTATCTTACAACACTAAAGTGAGTTAAAATCTGGGCCTTTATTGATGCAGCCTTCTTTTCTTCTTACCGGTACCATTCACTCACACGTAAAATGATCAAATCACTGACGAGAATCAGCAGACTGCTGATGTAACATTGACAATTACTTCCAAAATAGCACCAAGTCCACCAGATATACAAAGGAAGGCCATACATACATACAGGTAAATGTATAGTCTCTAAATGCAACACATCCATTAACAGAGCCTTGGGGCAATACATTCTTATCAAAATATGATCCTAGTCTACCATATCATCATATTGCATCAGAAACAGCAATGGCTAGGTCAAAGATCTGAAGACGCTTGCAGTACAACAAGCGAAATCTTTCCAAAACAGGTAATTGTGTACTGATTGTGAAGAAAAAATAAATTTCATTGTATTTTTGTTCTTCTTCACCCCCCCCCCCCCCCCCCCCCCCCCCCCCCCGGCCATTTTTATATGTGAAAGGCAGTTTCCAAACCTGAACATGATTTTAAAGGTAAAGACCAGTTTTGGAAACGCCCCCCTCTCAAAAAATGAAATGGAAGCTCTTATTACCAATCATGTGAAAGAATATGTTTTGACTAATACATGATCATACAAATTTTGCAGAGAAACCGCCTACTGATTGATATATTTGGTGAATTATTATATCTATTTGGACCTGATATATATAACGCATGTGTCGCGCACATGTGCGTAGTCCCATATACATCTTTCTGTGTACAGTACTTGTAACTTTAGCAAGACTCGGCAAAATTTCTTATCATTTTGATGATTCCAGAACCTTGTAGTACACACCAATACTTATATGCCAGGTGATCAACCTTTTCTGATCGATTCCACAATGTTTTTTTCACAATGCAATCGCATGACCATAACTGGTCTTTATCTTTAAAGTAGCATTGACAAATAGGAGAATGGGAGAATGGCTGGCTGACTTACTGAGTTTAGGTTAGGGCTCTGTATGGTTCTAGTGGAGAGAGTTCCGGTACCTCCTCCTTCTGGGAAGATGATGCCGAGCGGTAGGTTGTCCTCGTCCCCCATCTCACTCAGCTTAACATCAAGCATTGAGTACTGAGTAGAAAGCTTGGCTTCTTGACATCGCAGCTCCTGGATCTCTCGACTCGCATCCCGGTACTGCTTCTGTTTGGATAACAGACTAGGAAAGGGTGGAAACACAGGGGTAAGTTTTACACACAGGTGACAGGGTGATTTCGTTTTTTGGTCATCTGAATTAGAATTGTAATTCCATATGATCTAGTAAATTCTTTTCAATCAGAACAACTGTTGAGATACCCTGTATGCAGGCTCAAACCCTTGTCAGATGTTGTGTGTAACGCACTGTGTGAGACTAAGCTGACAGCATACTGCATATATGCTCTGTACTTCAGTATTACACCATATCAGAGACACTGATAACACGTAAGGCCATGCATCTCAGATTTAACAGCGTTAAACGGTACGTGCCTTTAAGGATAGTGCTCTGACAGGTGTTTGAACCCTGTTTCTGTGCCCTGTAAGCTACACTGTTTATGCCTGATAAAAGACTGTATTTTTGCACTGAGAAACTTAAAGAACGCATTCATGCAGTTTCACAATAACACAAACTTTTAAGCATTCTCAAGCCGGGCAAATCTACATGTCAATGCATAATGTAAACTTGCAGTATCTGTGTGATATGTAGAGACCTATCTTGTACTCTGGTTGTTCAACACATGCTCCTATGATAATTAATTTCTTAGCCGTAATTTCTTACAATACCGAATTCCTAATTTTCACCCTTGACCCAACACTAACCGTAATCCTATGCTAAAATCAAATAGCAACCCTAACCCTCAACTTTGGACATAATGGCGCATCGTATGTTGGACACCTCTACTAGTTTCTCCAGTCATTGTGTCATGCCACATTCCCACTCTAATCCATTTACAATCATCTATTCACATATCAAGGCAAATAAATAATCATTTCATGCAGGGCTTCCTAACACAAAAATATGCAATCAAGCGCATAGCCAGGATTGCATTTTAGGGGGGCGGTAGTGAGCACGCGTAGCGTGCGAATCACTTAAAGAGCGCGCGAAGCGCGCTCCCTAGGGGGGTGGGTGCAGGACCTCTCTCGACTCTTCATCCTTATCTGTATTCAGTCCCTCCCCTCTCCCACGCGAAGCTTTGACGTTTCATTAAATTATTAGAGAAAGAAGACGATTCGTTGTACCTTTCTCGACTCTTAATCCTTGTCTGAATTCTGTTCCACCCCCTCTCGCGGCTGCTCAGACTTCAATGATATTGTATTAAAGGGATAGTTGAGTTCTATTGCAGGGGGCGCTACACAATTTTTTTTGTGTGTGAGATAATGAAAAAAATGACAAAATCATCTTTGTTTGATCAAAATCGGTTCAGAGATGGCTGAATTATCCATAAATATAACCATTTCTAATATTTGTGTACCACCATAAATATTAGATAACTTGAACCAGCCGTTGAAAAAGCGAAATAGCGCCTTGTACGTTTTATTCCAGCCAATGTCGATGTTGGCTTTTTCGTGTTGGTTATAAGACGCACATTCAGCTGGCCCATGTATTGTTATTATTAATTAATTAATTAATTAACGGTCACCGTTTTTTTGTTGAAAGTAGAGCTCAATTGGTAAAATCGTATTGGCTAAATTTCATACACCGTAAATCTCCGTGTATAAGGCGCACTTTTTTGCTGCCGAAAAAAAATGGAAAGTCGGGGGGTGCGTCTAATACACAGGTACAGAATTTTTTTTTTTTTTTTTTTATTTATGGCGCCATGCCTGGCAATGTCTCCCAGCTCAGTAATCAGTGTGTTGACTCACCACTCGGAAACTACAACAACACTCAAATTTGTCTGTCATCTTGGTTTGAAAGTAATCTTTCTAATAGATCTCAATATGTAGTTTATAATAACTCCTCAATTTTTTTGTCTATAACAAATGGTGTACCACAAGGTTCTATTCTATGTACTCTATTGTTTTTAATTTACATTTAATGATCTTACACATTCTTCTAAAAACGACATTGTTACTATTATTTGTGACAAGTTCACAAGCACAAATCAGCGCCTTCAACTGCACCTCGATGTTAAATGAAAGTCCTTCCCCGCATGGGTTTTCGGCAACAAAACAACAACAAAAAACAAAAAACTTTTTTTTTTTTTTTGCCCCCATAATAGGGGTGCGCCTTATACACAGGTCAATGATTTCACTTCTTCAATGTGACATCTGCTCAAAAGCCATGTGGCCAGGTCATGGTCATCAAGCTTGATTATCATTCAGCTGTGACCACTCAAATTATTGTTATTGTTGGGGTCTGACCAAGCCTTATGAATCAGAAGGGCATTGAATCTGAATGCTTTGTACTTCTGCTTTCCTAGTTGACGATGCAATTTGTCATGCTATAATACAACAATAATGAAGTCTGTCATACACAAGACCATGCTATATAGGAGCAAGATACCATCAAAAAAAGACTCAAGGTCATTCTCAAGGTCATACTTTCTATGGTGCTGTTCCACTTGAATCCTCATTAACGCTGAATAACCGGCATGTCTGCAGCATGAGAATTTAAAAAGTGTAAACGCATCCTCAATTCAGTGTATAATTTTCAATGCAAAGTAGTGGCCATGTTCACTTTCTCTTTTAACTCTCATGCAACAGCAACAGCAGCAGCTAGCTTGGATTCTGTTTAGATTTTGAAGCTACAGCAAGAAGCAGAAATAGGGATATATATACTGTTCCATTCTTGTCAGGCATTTTCATTAAAAAAACTGAAGTATGAATCAATGTTTTCAATTCTTTTAGTGTTCAACGATACCTTGCTCCTATATATGCATCCCCACATTTATGTACAGCTAGCGAAGCCTTGCACTTTCATTGCCATGCATTGAACAATAACATCACAATGCGATAAAGAAACACAGCCTACATTTCATGCAAATTTTCAATACCAAAAAAAAATAAAGACATTAAAACTGAGTGCCTTCCTTCTTGAAGGCTTTTGCAATGACAGGCAAGAATGAATAATGCCCCCAGCACCTAGATTGCAGAGCTTGTATTACCACTTAAAATTTAGGGCACAGTCCAGCTATACAGGACAAAAGTAGTCTCCTTCCACATTAATAGCAAGTCTCTTCAGTCAAACATCTTTCACTATGCACTATCAGCACTCAACATCATATGCAATATGTCCCATGTCTTGGAAGGGGTTGTACAACACTTTACTCCTGCAACAACTGCTCCATGCCAATCTCCTACACTAACCACATTCTTAACTTCACTCCTAGATCCAACACAATACCCCACCCTGACCCTAAACCTATTAAAGCCCAAATGCACTACTTAATGCTACGTGCGCCCTCTATATAGCAAGCAATGCCTACCGGTAATCAGTGACCATTGGTCCCCAATGGTCCCCTTTTTCTTATGTTTATTGAGAGCAGATTTGATGAGATAACCACCTGTCAGTGACCTTACATGGAGGTCTAATCCCCCTGGCCAAACTAGTGCAGATGGGCTTTAAACCTAAAAATCTAATTGCAATCCCCATCCCTATACCTTGGATGAAATAAAGCCTCAAGAAACTGTTGCAGGAGCAAATGTCAGGTCACTCTTGGAACTAAGTTGGAAGCGTTTAATTTGTAGGAAAGCAATTTAATACAGGTACAAATTCATTGACCTGTAATTTGGTTCAAAATAATCATAAAAATTGCGTGCACATCTCACGGTCATTCACATCACTACTGCAATCCAATATCCATTCAGCTTCTAGAGCTCTATCACAATATTTCTTAATGTCTCCTTGGAATTTGATAAACTAGATGAGAGTAGGGCTCATTAATATATTAATTATCTGCCTTTGACTCAAATTTTCCAATAATTTCCATGGTCCTTCTAACTTAAATGATCTAGAAATATATTTGTCCATAAGAAAAAGAAATCCCCTTTTTCAAACACGAGAAGAAACATCATAATCATCAAGAAAAAAAATTATTTTTCTTTTGATAACATCTTGACATACATACAAATAATATTTTTGTTTTTGATTTTTATTGCTACTTTTTGTGAATTACCCAATTGCAAATCACAAACATCATAAAGTGATAATGGAATAATATTTCAAATTAAATTATTAAAACTGAGATTCAAACCAAAGAAAGTTGAAAAAGATTTAGTGAAAGACACAGCACCTAACACAGTTTTCATCAGTATTTCTAGTGATTTTTCTTTAGAGAAGACTCACTCTAGGATAGCACCCTCTTCTTTAGGTGATGGTGGGATAGTGCGTATCTCCTCATCAAGGTTCTTGAGTTCCTGTTTCTTTGCCGTCAGTCTGTCTCTAGTGTTCTTCAGCTGCTCATCTAACGACGAGTGCCTAGAAAATAATGTCACCACAAAAAAAACATAGACAAATTGGTTGACAAATATAGGTGTCTAAGGGCAAGCCCCTTCCCCAACCCCCAACAATAAACAATTGTTCAAACAAGACCATTTACATAAATTCAGTGTGGAGGCTTTGACATTTGACAACATGCTGAATGGCACTTTTCAATATTTTTACAGAGTATTTTCTATATTCAGTATAATACATTCTGATAGACTTTCATCAAAAAATCTCTTGATATAGCTATTGACTATTAATAGCAATGATACCGGAAAGAACAATTCGTCAATGGTCAATGGTTAATGAAAAATATAGATATATTATATATAACTTACTTACATGTATGTCATTCAAAACACTCTGCGTGGAATCACCAAAAGTAATGACATTGATCTTTACTCTTTTGAAAAGACATCTCAGTATGAATTGAAGGTCTAACGCCACCCTCGGCCTTCACTCCCCCTTTCCTCCTATCCTATGAAATCTTCAATTTGTGCCCATTCTGAGGCTAAATATATTTTTTCCCCAACTGGTTTTTGATATTCTTTGTGTTCCTTCTGCCCTCTATCATCAGATAAAAATTTTACAACAATGATATCCATTGAAAAACTTGATTCTCAAATATGATATAGGGTTTGATGAAATAGGTACAAGTAGTGCAAGGAGTGATTGTGGACACCTATGAAAAACATCACCTATGGGCGTGTTCACACCGCAGTGAGATAGCGCGGTCTACCGTAGCACCCCCTTTTTTGAGAGGTCCTGTTGCCATGACGCGTGACATCATGAGGTCAGAGCGGTCAACACTCCTAGTTCGTAATAGTGCGCGAAATCTTTGACCGCTCTGACCTCATGACGTCACGCGTCATGGCAACAGGACCTCTCAAATAAGGGGGTGCTACGATAGACCGCGCTATCTCACTGTGGTGTGAACACGCCCTATGTTGATCAGGGTGTTCCATCCCACACGTGGAAATAAAGAAATATAGAATCTTGCAAACTCCAGTGGTTACCTATGAGAGCCACAAGTGCGTTGACTAAACATAACATGTTAAGAGTTTAATAACGCCCTAGGGGCTCTCAAAGACAACACTATACTTGGGTTTTAAGTCTCACTGGCTTTAAGTTGAAGCCAGTGAGACTTAAAGGTATTACAAAGTTTTGGTATTGGGTCATGAATTTGGTTTGAATGCACATACCGGTATGCGATTTTACAATATACAATGATCGTTGTCGCGGTTGAAATCGAGTCTAAAGTGATGAAATTGTAAATACTAAACTCTTAATGTTGTATAGCTCCCTCTCAAGACTGATATCACATACATGACATATTCATAATTCCTGGAAAGTACTACCCAATTTGATGTCGGCTGCAAAAGGGACATAGTGTCTTTAACTCTTTAAATGCCACACAAATAATCTCCCTGTATCACGTAGTTTCTATTATGGGAGAGATATTAATACCAAGAGCTTCAAGATCATTTACCGTAACCATTTCCAGTGCACAATTAATCTATACTGCTGTTAAAGAATTGTCATGTAGCTAAAACAAGACTTGAAATGTTAATTTGCAAAGTCATTGTGTTGCACAAAGCAATTCTTGCTAATTTCATCAATTAGTGTCCATTGTTTTTTGAAAAATTGCACATGTGGCACACGAGCGACAATGCAGAGAGAGGGGCGAAGGAAGCAAGCGGAATGTTGGCTTACGAATGTTGAATGGCTTCAATGGTGAGGGTGTCAAGTACTATAGTGTTTTCTTTGAGGCCATCAGGGAAGTCTTCTGAAGGTGAGAGGTCGAAGGTGAATGTCTCCATGGCAGGGGGTTCCATTCTAAAAGAAATTCAAAAAGAAATTCAAAAAGAATTCAAAAAGAAATTCAAATATGTGCAGAAAAATCTTACTGGTGCAGAAAAATCTTACTGGTGCATACAGGAATCAATAGAAGTTACAGGTCAATGTAGTCTTGAGTTTATACAAATCTTTCATTCTTTGAAGGTAAAGACCAGTTTTGGAAATGCCCCCCTCTCAACAAATGAAATGGAAGCTCTTATTACCAATCATGTGAAAGAATATGTTTTCATTGTTTTGACTAATACATGATCATACAAACTTTGTCCAGAAACCGCCTACTAATTGATATATTTGGTAAATTATTATATCTATTTGGACCTGATAGATATAACGCACGTGTGCGTAGTCCCATGTACATCTTTCTATGTACAGTGCTTGTAACTTTACCAAGACTTGGCCAAATTTCTTATCATTTTGATGATTCCAGAACCTTGCAGTTCACACCAATACTTATATGCTAGATGATCAACCTTTTCTGATCGATTCGACAACGTTTCTTTCACAATGTAATCGCATGGCCATAACTGGTCTTTATCTATAAATCAAATTTCTGTTTGCATAACGTCTGTTTGGAGCGAGAGTTAATGGCCTTCATTTGTTCTAATCTACTCAAGCAAGCTGGTGAAACTCTGAAAGCACATCGCACACTTAACAATTTGGCGGTGACCTAACTTGTGAAAAACTTGCAACACCATAACAAATGTAAGTTGTAAATGATATGCATGTTTTTTTATTTACTTCATAATCAGATATAATTTCTAGATACAAAATTTCACTATGAAATTGGTTGATGTGAACTCAACATTGTCTTTAGAATTGGACGTTAATGACGAGTAGAAAGCACCTTATCTCACTTCTCAATCACTTCAGCAGTGTGCCATGATTTCAGTTAGGATTCATTCACTACTGATGATACAAGCACAAATTTTTGGGATAGGCTTCTCGACCTGAACTTAAAGGGATGCGGTAACTTTAAAAAAATCCTCGATTTAGCTCATGCTGCAATGATAATTATAAACCTTTAGGTCAGTCAGGAACCCCATGACTTTTACAAGCTGATCACCTGTCTGATTATCAAGATATTTACGATTGAATATCTATTAATATAAATTTTGTGTTTGCCAAACGGTTTTCATAACACTACAGTCTATTGGGGAAAACGAGTATGGTAAAACCGGTCACTCAAAGGTTTTTACTCTTTTGAGGCACTTCTTGATTATTTTGAAGCGCAATTTTTTTAGGGCTTCAATATAACACCATATCACAGACACTGATAGCACGTAGAGCCGTGCATCTCAGATTTAACATTGTTAATGATTCCTTCAAACATACAAAACAATATCTTGGTGATAGGTATCAACCCCTTGGTAGTGACCCAAGTCTGACGGTCCGGCACTCTCGCATCTTTTAAAATCACAGCCGGTTGAGTCTGTGTTTGTGTCATAGAGGTGAGAAGCAGAGGCACTTCTTCTTACACCAATGGTACTTGATGTGTCACCTTATGTTACAAGTTGTGGCAAGCAAAGAATGAAAAACAGACAATTTTTTTTCCATCTTTCCCCCGAACTCAACCTCTTGAGTTTTTTATCTCCAGTGAATGCCCTCATGTTTCCCTTGTTCCTTCGAGCAAACTTCCATCTTTCAGGATATTTACTACATTAAAGGAAGTGGTGTGACAAAGGGGAGGGAACAACTATCTTGAAAATGGAGTAGCTGAATTAGTGTGCTATTGCTTTGGCCTTTGGTTAAGCATTCAGTCTCCATAGTCTCACTGATAGGACTACATAACCAATGGTTCCCTACAGCTCAAGTAAAGGAAAGGAATCAGACGAGGTATTAGGAGATAATCTAAATTTATCTTTCTGGACCCAGGTGTAGAAGGCCTTCACAGGAAATTCTTTGGAAAAATAAATGCATGATCTCGTCTGATTTGATATGATGTGAGTCGAAAAAACATTAATACATAATATGGAATACATAACAGAAAAAGAAATATACAGTTAAAACTGCTTTAGTGACCACCTGTCTACAAAGGCCACATATGTTGTTTCCCTTGAAAATGGTTTCTCATTGAATCATGTACTAAAGGAACCTGTCTACAAAGGCCACTTTTTGTGTTTCCCTTGGATTATCAGTGTTTTATCATAACTTAGTCACATTTATAATTGATAAATGACACATATTTGGAAAGCCGAGATCCTCTTTCATCTGATGTAACTGTAATATAATGCATATTTCATGCATGAGTGATTAAGATGAATTTGAAGAGAGGAAACCTAAAATTCATTTGGCTGACGCTATCTGAATTTCAAAGAGAAAATCACATTTCCAGAAATTTGAATTTCTGCCCTTTCATATGACACCTCAATCACGAAAAATGAGCAAGGAATGACAAAGTTCTGTATGTTTAAAGAAGTGCTTGCATTTCCATAATTTTATCAAATTTGTTTTCACTGGCTGCCTGCCATAGCAAAAAACAGAACTGTCAAAAGACTTAACTCCGTTTCGTTGACAATCAGCCATGCATGAAGTCTTTCGTCTACAGCCGATTGTCAACGAAACGGAGTTAAGTCTTTCCTTAATTCAGTGTGTTGCATTGCGAGGGTAAATCCCTTTCAATTTCCCCTACAGCTAAAGGATGTATAGCTCAATGACTAATACCAAGAAGATATAAAGTTTATAATCCAATCCAAGTTACTACATCTCATCGACTAAGAGCTAGAAAGGCATTCACTCATTTACAGTGAAACCTGTATAGAAAGACCGCCTTAAGGCCCGGTCACACAGCCTTTCGCGTCTGTATCGCGGGTAAAATTTCGCGATTTTTTTTTTTGCCCGCGGTTGCCCGTGGTGGAAAATGTGCAAAATTGGCTTACCCGCGGTTTACCCGTGGTATGCCCGCGGAACAGACGCCGGCGACTGTTCCGCGTCCTTATCGCAAGTGAAGCGCGGCGGTACCGCGGCCTACCACGCTTACACGCGGTACACACGCTAATGCACGTGATAACAACGCGGTACAGACGCGGAACAAACGTGCTATGACCGTGCTCCACCCGCGATTACCCGCTAAAATTTCGCGTCCAATTCCGCGTGTAACCACGTCTTAACCGCGGCCGTAGCACGTCCTAGCACGTTCGTTCCGCGTCTGTACCGCGTCTTTACCGCGTGTGTACCGCGTGTGTACCACGTGTACCGCCCGCGATTACCCGCGGTCTAAATTTTTGGGCAGCCCAAAACTTTTTCGCGCGGCCAACCGCGTGTGAATTTCTTACCGCGTGTAACGACGGGTAAAGTACGGCTGTATCGCGTCTTTATCGCGACCTCAAAGCGTCCAACAGCGTCTGCTTCACGGGCAGAAATTTTTGGCCGTGATTCGGCCGCGATACGCCCGTGGAGGGCTGTGTGACCGGGCCTTAAGAGAAATGCAAAAAGGGGTCTTTATTAGGCCGGTGGTCTATATACACAGGTTTCCTCTAACACATGTTTCAATTACAAGCATCACTTTGAGGGAAACAAAAAATTATGGTCTTCATAGACAGGTGGCCAGAAGAGCATAGTTACCGTATTTGCCGGCGATAAGGCCACAGTGCCGCATAGGCCGCACCCCCGATTTTGACATTTAAAAAAAATAAGTTGAAGTTGGGATTCGATCTCTTGCGCACAAATGTTGATGTGACTAAAATCACCGCCTTAGACCGCTCGGCCATCCCGCACTGATGCCATAGCCTGCAGTTTTCTCTGATGTATACATTGAAATGGATTGAAAATGGCAAATTCACGTGCTGGATGCTTCGCGGCAGTTCCGTTAAACGGGCCCTTCTTTTACTTTTGCAATGCATTGGCTGTGTGGAAATGTGTGGAAATGTCCTGTATCATAGTAGTATAGTTATTGTACCGTTCGTAGTCCCATATGTGCAAATTCGTGCTGGCTTTGACTTACTTTTTTTTTTTTTTAACTCTTTCGACGTAAAGGCCGCACCCCGACTTTTGGATATTTTCTCTTCCAAAAATAGTGCGGCCTTTACGCCGGCAAATACGGTAATGCTCTTTTGGCTCTCAATATTCCGTGGCAGTCTCTTACCTGTAATTTTCCACGAAGCTACTGTATTCTTTCTCTGGTCTAATCTCCACCATGTTCTGCATGATGCTGTTGTAGTGTGAAAGAAACTTCCCAGATGCTGAGTTTATCAGGTTGCAATGCTCCACCATCACTTGCTTACTGTTAGGGAGAAGGAAAAAAAAGTTATGGCAATTTTGAATTATTGTCACATAATTAGTCAAATCATGTATTTTTCACATGGCTTATTCCTCACAGCCAATGAAAATTGATTTAACATAGAAATGTAAGTCCTTTGGTGTGCCACTTTATAACTGATTATATTTTTCGAAAAATATATTTACATAACAATGGAGATTGTGATGAACCAACCTAGTGAAAAAAATCATAAATACCATGGTTGATAAAAAACATCTTTATCTTAAAGGGATCGTTTAACAATGTTAAATATGAGATACACAGCCATACGTGTTATCAGTGTCTGTAATATGGTGTAATATTGAAGCCCTAAAAAAATTGCGCTTCAAAATGATCAAGAAGTGCCTCAAAAAAGTAAAATCTTTGAGTGACCGGTTTTACCATACTCGTTTTCCCCAATAGACTGTAGTGTTATGAAAACCGTCAAGTGAACAGTCTTCAAAATTTGTAATTCCAATCATAAATATCTTCATAATCAGACAGGTGATCAGCTTGTAAAAGTCATGGGGTTCCTGACTGACCTCAAGGTTTATAATTATCATTGCATCATGAGCTAAATCTAGAATTATGTTTCAGAATCTAAGCAAAGTTACCGGATCCCTTTAAAGTCATTAAAAGCTTGCTTCGATCATTAAATACTGGTGTGACTCCTTACTTTGTTGTCGTAACTGCTGTTCTTCCTGAGGGCCGAGGGCCAAGCAATTATTGTAACCCAAGCAATTGCCAGGTACCCATTTACAACTGGATGGACAGTGGCAAATATGGATTAATGTCCTGTCAAAGGACATTAGTGTCAGGTTCGGATTCGAACCCTAAACCCTTGGATGAAGAGTCACGTGAATGAATCATGACACCCTGACACCTGCAAAACTCCTGGGAGTGTTTCACAAAGACTAAGATCGATTTTAAGTTGGACTTAACTATGATGGGCTGTTCATGCCACTATTTTCTCTCATCATTTACTGGCATTGGTTTCTCAAGGGACGTACCAATCATGGTCACAAATCTACAGAACTTTCATCTTTTGATAGTCCATTATTGAAGGAAAAAATATTATCTAAAGATCATAATCAAGAGACCAATGGAGAGAGCAAACAGTGGCATGAATGGCCTGCCATTTTTAAATCCAACTTAAAGATGATCTTAGTCTTTGTGAAACACCCCCTGGACTCCTCTCCCAGGACTTTCTCATGCCCTTTTTGGCTTCGTGTGAGATGGGTATGAATATATGTGGATACCCAAGTGGTGTCAAAGTTCCAGTGAGAACCCTAAAATGTATGTCTTTGATCAAACGGACTACAACTTACATCTGAGCGACTTGGCTTTCCTGCGTCTGCTGTAAACATTCGAGCAGCCTTGGAAGGATGTTGTTACGATAGTGTTCTTGATGTAACCCTGCTGCCCGTAACGACAAGACATAGTCATTGTGTGCCTTGTGGAGTTTGATCACACACTTCTTGTATTTCTCCTTGGATCTATCAATGTCTTTAACTTTATTACCTGAAATTAGAAGAGACATGGGTGACATGAAATTCGCTCCGGCAACAATTGCTATGGGCTTTATTTCAAGGTTTAGGGTTAGGGTTTGGGTTGCTTTGGGGTTTAGGTTAGGTTCAGGATTAGGGTTAGCTGTAGTGTTGAGTCAAGTGTTGAAGTTAAGAATTTTGTTAGTCTAGGATACTGACATGGAGCAGATGTTGCAGGAACGAGTGCCGTGCAACCAGCTAACTCATTACATGCACTCGTACTCCTCAGCTTTACACTGGTTATCAGTTAAATTTTACCATCTATTCCATTATATTCACATTCACCATCAAATTCATTAACATAATCATTTTGATCAAACATCATTGCTAACTGCAGCAACAGCACCGTCAGCATCATTGTCATTGCCATCATCATCATCACTGTCATCAATATCATCTTCACCATTAATTATCTCATCATGTCATCATCATCTATTAAAGCAGTATGATGCAACTTGTCAATAGGTTCCTCTAATCCAGACCCCCCCCCCTCTCTCTCTCTCTCTCTCTCTCTCTCTCTCTCTCTCTCTCTCTCGTATCCCTTTTTTTTCTCCATCACCAGCTAACCCATCACCATCATAACAACCTATAGTCAGTCTCACCTTTCTGGAGTTGTTCTTCATACTTGGATTTACTCTCTCTGGCTTCCCTCGCTGACTTCTTGTAAGTACTTAGGTTTTCATCCACTTCTCTCCTTGCCTACACAAAAGAATAACAAACAAATATATCAATCTTGATATTCCAAGCACAACATTGAACAAGCTGAACATTAGAAATCATAAGACTACAAGAGATCATCTTTGTTTAAGCAGCATCTCTAAAGTCTGCACTCTTGAGAGGGGTGGGGGAGTAGTTCGCAGGCACAAATACTCGTCTGTCCTTTAAATGTAGCAGAATACCTGAACTGTTTCACTACTAGATGTCATGATCTATTGCACTCCATAATGTTCTGTAGGTGCTCCTTGCACAGCCAGAGACCTAAACAAAAAAGTTAAGCAAGGCTTGAAATTTGATGGAATAGTGTTTAACTTTACAATAGACTAGAGTCTGTGCCTGTAGTTTAGGGGAGGGGTAGATAAATGTTGCATACAAGGGAAATAGGAAGATGATGCAGCATGTATACACGGTGTCGGAATATTTGTGCATGTTCTCCTTTAAGGTACAAGTTAATTGCCTCCAACGTTATCCTTATCATTGAGCAGAACACTGTTTGAATCACTTAAAAGTGGAAATGTACAGGTACATTCTAACTATAGTGAGAAACAGGTATTTTGACAAAATATCTTTCTCTTTTATCACAATCAAAAGACTTTAATACATAAGTAAATAACTAGGGAAGCGGGAAGAGACCACACAAAAAGTGGTATTCAAGATATGTAATAGTTACAGAAGGCACAGAACAATTTCGCTCATTTTACTGTTAAAATACGTTCATAAACATCACATCACAGTACGTGCAGTTTTATTATCCTCACATCTTCCGCGGTATATCCTGTTATTCCCCAATTTATGTACTACAATTGCATCAAGTGAAACCAAATAAATGGAAAAATTGCTGCTTTTAATGTCTGAGAACTATGCACTGAAACCCAGGAGATTAAACAAACATTACATGGTATGTATGTACATAGTAATGAAATTTGTTTAGTAACGGAAATTGAGAGCGTGCTTAGTAGAGAGAGAGAGGGAGCAAGAGCAAAGGAAAGAGAGAGGGAGGGAATGAGATAAGAGGGGACGGTATGAGGGAGGGAGAGATGGTGCAACTTGAAAAACTATATTGAAGATTGCAACAACAAAAACTCCAATAACTCCATATCTAGGGGTGCCGAGAGAGAGAAATTTAATATACCAAAATTTCTTTTGGAATAATGTCAATTTCTTGGAAAGAATATAACACAAATTGCTATGTATTTCAGGAGGAAAAAAACATTTTCAAATTAATTATTTGTCTTTCTTCCTTGCTCTCTTCGCACACTCACATTTGGAAACAAACTAATAGGATGAATCCAGACCATTAAGTGCCTCAATACCTCCATATTGTAGCAGTGACGTGCTTGAATGTCTTATTCATGCAGCAAGGTGCCCAAATATGTCATATATTTTATATATAAAAGTTTCATTTTTACTACGCTTATTCACTTCACGGACTGGCAACACTTCAAGTGATCTATGTGATGAAGTTAATGCAATTGAGATTAGAATATACTTTTTTGGTGGAAAGTTGCTAAAATCGATTTTGATTTATCATTATAGATTTACCAATAGAAGCCATAGTCCAATGGCTTCTATTGGTAAATCAATAATGATCAATCAAAATCGATTTTAGCAACTTTCCACCAAAAAAAGTATATTCTAATCTCAATTGCATTAACTTCATCACATAGATCACTTGAAGTGAGTTTAAGAAACAGAATAATTCTGGGCAACAAGATACCTGAATACTGTTGCATTCGTGTATCAGGTGACCAAATAACTATATGATGTTTGTATTTATGCTTTTGGTGGCTGTGGTAACCTACAGTATGAATTTGTAGACTAGGCACACAACAGGGGGGGGGGGGCAGATTTTGAGAGCAGACATGTTGTCACCCTTCTTCATAATAAAGATGTTTCAAGCCTTATAGTAAGCTTATTTGTGTAGTTTATTGGAAGGGCAACCTCATGTAATAATAGCACCAATGTGCCCATAAAAGTAATTTTATATATTATATAGTGTGTTTTGATTACAAAATAATTTGTTTACAACATTAATGATGTCTTCTCTTTTTGCTTTGCTTTCTCGCAAAATTTAGAAACAAATGTGTCCTTACATCTGTGCATGGCATTTTACGAGTGCCAGAGAGATGCAAAATGAATCTTCTTTGATGAATACAGAATTGGGTTGACGCAAAACTTTATAGTTCTTAAAAGGGTGCAGTGACTATAAAAAAAAAGTTGAAAAACGCTTTAGCTATAGCTACATAGGTATTTAAGTTACCTTCATAAACTCAGAGTCTATCCTGGTTCGTTCCTGCGTGTACTGCCGTTTTGAGTCGTGTTTATCTTTGATGAGCAACGCAAGCTTCTCTACGATGTTCTGAACCTCGTCAGCGTTACTCCGAACCAACTTGCATATTCTGTCGGTTTCCTCAATCAAGTGATTCCATGCCTGTACCGAAATAGAAAAAAAATATGAGTATAGATAGATATGTGATATCAAATGTATTATATCATAATCATTGTCAAAAGTTATGATACATGATCAGTATTCATTGGGATAGATGTGCAAAATGCAATTAACATTGACATAAAAAAATGCAAGTTAGTCTATAAAAGAACTTTTGATTGTACTTCTTAGAAGGAACCAGGTTCCTAAAAAGAATATAATTTCAAACAGGGAGAACATGATAAGAAGGTAGAGCACTATTAAGCCTACATAGGGTGGGGGTCTAACCTTCTTCAATCCTATTTCAAGTTCCAAAGCACACTAGCATGGCAATGGATTGTTAGGCCTAGGCGTAAAGCCCATTAAACCAGCCCACATTGTCTGGAACAAAATCCTCTGAAATCTCCATCTATATTTGGATCCTGCTAAACGAGGATAGAGCCAATACTCGCACTGAGATTGGGTCTGAGGTTGGGTCAAGATTGCAAATTAAAATCTTGTAATTAGCACTTTGTCCTTGGGTTGACCACTTTTATATATTGCTTGAGGAAAACTGGTTCTTAAAGTCTTGGGAAAATGCCAGGTTTTGGATTTAGGAAAAGAAGGTGGGTCATGATTCAGATGTATCCTTCAGGTAGTCATTAGTACAGTGAACTTTTTTTAATTACCCTGACTTCATGTAAACCTAGAAAATCAAGCCATATGTAGAAGAGATACAAATATTTTTTTTACAGGCCCCGTCTTATAAAGAGTTGATATTAATTGCAACTATGTAGTATGTACATGGCAGATAGTAGACTACAAACTTAAGATTGAATGGAGGACTTTCAATTGATTTGGATCAATCGCAATTCTTTATAAGACGGGGGCCCTGAACTCAACATCAAGTCGCTCTGAAGGAAAAAAGAAAAATCAGGAAAACAGGGTGGGAAAGATTGGGGGGCAGTTTGAATAAATTTTGACAAAATTTACAAAAGGTATGGACTGGACAAACAATTCAAAAGTTATGAGAATTTCAAACTTTCTGAATAGGCCATTTTCGTAATGTAACCAAATTAAATACATACGTCTTTGCAAAGTGCCTCATTTCAAATTATTTAATTCACCTGATAAGAATAATAGTATTTCAATAGTCAGAATGCAAACTGCATATATATTAAGTGTTGCTAGGTAGGTCAATCCATAATGTTTGTCCTACCTGGCAACAACTAATGTATGCAGTTCAGATTCTGTCTATTGAAATACTATTATACTTAAATATCAGGTGAATGAAATAAATTGTATTGAGGCACTTCACAAAGACTTACGCATTAAATTTGGTTACATTACGAAATTGCATATTGGTAACTACATGTACATGTATCACTGTAATATAGTGGTGGGTAACTTTCCAATACATTTTTAACACACAAATGACAAAAACGTCATAACTAATAAATTGTATGACTACTCAACTAATTAGGATTTTTGTTTTTTTAAAGGATTTATAACAGAATGATATCCATATTTAGGTTGGGTGTTTTAAAAATAAATTGTAAACTGCATGAAGAAACAGATGTTTCTTCATTTACAGATAAGACATCACACATACCGGTACCAATATCTGTAAATTACTGTATGATATGCAAACTTCATTAATTTATGACATAAGCTCTGACCTTAGGAATACACATCTCACCGATATACTAAATATCTTTGATTTCAACTCCTTGAAACTGCTTCTACATTGCAATTTGCTGTCCCTAATATTTGGGACTTTTGGTTCTTTACATGCAATACATGAACCTCAAATACATCTAGGGTGTTAACTAGGACAGAAATACAAGATTATTTTCAATTGACATATCGAATCATCATGGCTGACATATCCATTACAACGTGCTATAATGACATTAGAAGCATGTGCAAATGTTGATTAACAGATATCAAACTACTGGGCAGAGACAACAGTCTACTGCTGTGAAAGTTAAACGGTTAATCCAGAAAGAGGATACCCTTCTTTAATGAATATTTAGTACACATGGGCAGCGTTTCACGAAACCTCCATAAGTACAACTTCACCGACATCCCCTTGAAATACGTGTATTAGGGTTAACACGCATTTCAATGGGATGTCAGTGAACTTGTACTTATGACAGTTTCATGAAACGATGCCCTAGTTTCCATTACTATGCTGTAAAATCTCCTAATTATTAAATGCATTGACCTTCTCTTATACTGAGAATTCCAGTTTGAAATAATTACATAATTATAAAGCAAAAAATACATAAAATTTGAACAACAGGAAGGATATGGAAAAAATACAATGGCTAGCCTTGCTCCAGTTTAGACATACAAGTTGTTATATACTGGAAATTGTCAACTACATTATTTCATATCTCAAGGGTTTTCTTCTACAATTTAATCACATTTTCTGCAAAGCATGTTTGTCAGCTTTTCAACGATCAAGTACAACTGACTCGGTCAAGAACCATTTCATTAGGTAAACCAGTCTCTTATCAAATGAATATGGTATGCTCAACGAAACTTCCAATATGAGAAATATGGACACAAAACCAGGAGGAGGAACTGTTGCAGCACTTAGGCTTCGGGAGTTAGCTAGCCACGACAATCTGGAACCAAAACTTGATTGGTTTAACTTCTAAATCTAAAAATTCAGGTACACAAGGTATTTGGTAATTTGATGTCCCATACATTAACAAGTATTGCGGAGTCCTGAACAGAGATCAACATCAAATGGGCCATTTTACTTCATAGTTGGTCTTATCTTAGCTCATAAAAGCGCTTCTCACTTGATACAATGATCAGATATATTCAAATTTAATAAACTGGATAACAATACAGTGAAACCTGTATCTCAAGACCGCTATTAAAAGGGATACACGAAAAGTGGTCTTTATAGGTAGGTGGTCTTTATGCACATGTTCCTCTAGTACAGGTTTTAGTGGGAAGCCGTATTTAAGGGAAACAAAAAATGTGGTCTTTATAGACAGGTGGACTTTCTATACAGGTGGGCACTATTAAAAGAAGGTTTGACTGTAGCTTGAACTTGCCAGTAAATACATGTATGTACAGGGCTGATCATACCCTAATGATAATGAAAACTATGAATATGCATATATCTAATGTAATAATAACAATAACAATAAATATAGTCACACATGAAAGAGTAAATAATCTGGGTTCTAAAACACAAGATACACTGGCCACATCAGTTCTTTAGAACGGACGTCACATTAAAGGGACTTGGTAACATTGTTCAGATGAGAGAAAATGGTGCTAAGGTAGTACTGCAATGCTAGATGTATAATTGAAGATAATCTAAAAGTTTGAGTGAAAACAGACCATGATTAATGATAAAAATTGGGAAAAACTGATCTGATTGATTCCTGAATTCTCCCAACTGTATCATTAAAATTCAATTACATTTTAAGTGGATGTAAATCGTCACAAAGCAATAAATTGGCTCGAAAAACCGTTCCAGACATTTAAGTGTGGAATGATCTAAAAAACCTGTCTTATGTCTTATTTTCATGGAAAAACGGTTGGGAAAATTCAAAAATGGTTAGGAGAATTTACTTTTAGAGGGTGTTGCACAGTGACGCCTCCAAAGAAAACCATAAATATCTTTGTGATTAGAGAATTTGTTCAGGATTTTTTGCATGTCAGAGGGTTAGTACAAGGAATGTAATACCATTTCATACGAAAATTACATTTTTTTTCATCAACCTTCAACAATGTTACTGAGTCACTTTCAAGGAGTGAAATAATTGGCTCTCACTCTCACACTGATGAAGTCTGTCATAAGGAAATGGCATAGAAAGGCTCATAAGCATTGCGGTCTGACCTACAACAATGATATTCATTGCCTTTATACAGAATCACTGAAGGAGTGATTTGGAGTGATTTATTGTTAACCTTGATAGTGATGAGCTATGACTAGGCTTCACATTCTACCTAGCAATGATAAAGAGGAAGTCAATATAGCACTCTCTATTGATAATAATTCTCATATCGAGTGCCTGCTTTGTTTCGATATTACTAATTCTACATTCCATAAATAATCCTTGTGTAGCCTACAAGTCATCGCACATTAAAGTACCAGAGCGAAGGTTTAACAATGCTTGTAACAACGGTACCTTAATAATGTTGGCATCATTGAAAAGGGAATGTTACAATATTCCTAATAATTCTGTTCGCAGTCCAACTTTTGAAGAATCCACGATAGCATTTGAAAGGACCGTTCACACAGGTAAAATCTAAATGATAGAAGCATTGAAGGATTGCAAGCTTCCATATTGGAGTAAAAATGCCATAAACTGAAGCCAATGTGGCTTTTACTTGGACCAAAAGGTTTCAATACAATGTTTTGTTTAAATTTCAATACCTAATATAATTGTGATTGCTTCAAAAATTGGATCGCAGTGGGATCTTACATTGTGCAATGGGCTTTTAGTGCAAAGCTCCAAGATACTCGTTTCCTTTTTGAGCATTTGAGAATTACGACAGGACATTTACCTTGAGGAGAGGGCTGTTGTTGTGAGATAACTGGGCATCGGTGTCAAACTTGGTTGCTAGGTTACCGATTCCTTGCAGAGCAGTTGCATAATCCTTGTCTGCTCTCATCCGATGTGATACAACTCGCTGTAACAACAAAATATGAACATACATTATTTGTTTTAAATGCACTTTCACCTAAAAAATATATTTGTGATGATAATGTTATTTATCAAAGCATTGTACTGAATCATACTTCCATTCTCTCTCTCTCTCTCTCTCTCTCTCTCTTCTTCTTCTTCTTCTCTTCTCCACTTCTCCTCTCTTTTTCTTTACTCATCACATATGCAGCAACATTTTCTATTCTTCCATTTCTCTCTTTCCTTGCTTTATTTTCTTTTGTCTTATATATTCTTTTTAATTATTAATATGCATGTCTTATCTGTCAGTCGTCATTGTCTCTTTTGACCTTTCCAGTGCTCACTATACGCTATCGTAACAAGTTGTCAAATTACGGATTTATAATTGTATTATTATTTTGCCACTTTTTGGTAATCTAGGTATATATATTTTTTTCAAGTTGATATATTTACATGTGACAAAAATTATGTTTGTCTTTATCTTTATCCACATTTTACAAGCTCTGCTTTTCAGTGGATCCCTCCATTTCCACAGGTTTATCTTTTTTAAGAATTAAAAAACCCATTATACTGGATAATTATGTATACTTTCTATTTTCACAACTTTAAACCATGTAAAATGTATTATATTATTGAATGTTGAATTGTATATCTGATTTCTTGTCATAATTACTGTTCTGTTGGAAATGAAAAATAAAACTGAAACTGAACTGAAACTGAAACTGCATAATCACCAAAGCAATAATGTTCAACACTTAATGATTTGAAGTGTAACTATACATCAGTCTCTAGTGACGGGTAATATGTTTCAACAGTTGTACAATGTAGGGAAATCAGTTCATATTTGTTCAACATTGTTAACTAGTTTTTTTCTTCCCTAAATGCATTCATAATCGCTTGTTCACATATTATGAAGTAAACTAAAATGCAGTTTTGTTTCTTCTTCTGAATAAAGACATACTGGTAAGCTTTATAAAGGTAAAGACTAGTTCTGGTCATGCGATTGCATTGTGAAAGAAACGTTGTCGAATCGATCAGAAAAGGTTGATCATCTTGCATATAAGTGTTGGTGTGTACTGCAAGGTTCTGGAATCATCAAAAATGATAAGAAATTTGGCACAGTCTTGGTAAAGTTACAAGCACTGCACACAGAAAGATGTATATGGGACTATGCAACACATGTACCAAATATATCAATTAGTAGGCGGTTTCCCGGCAAAATTTGTATCATCACGTATTAGTAGAAACATATTCTTTCACATGATTGGTAATAAGAGCTTCCTTTTCATTTTTTGAGAGGGGGGCGTTTTCCAAAACTGGTCTATACCTTTAATTACACTTCACATTTATGTATCTTGTAACACATAGATAAGTGAGTACGCATAGGAATTTGTGGCATGAAGCCACTTATTTCATATCCAACTATCATTTACATTTAAAAAAAAAAAATTAATGTAAAAAAAATAAATCACCATTGTAAACCACCTTGTTCACACGTGACAAGTGAAAGTGTGGTGGTTACCGCAAGTGTAAACAAGCCTATAGTGGTAATGATGTGAACACTTGAAGTATAACAACGTGTTTTGACAAAAGATCACGTAGAGTTGAACCACTGCCAGGGAAGTAGCGATAGCTTTAAATACAGCTCTATATTGCTACGTCCTGTCGTTAGTATTTCTGGTTATCAGCGTTGCAGGCTTGCCAATTTGAGCGGGGTGTGCCAAATACATAATGTATACACTGACATTTCTAAAGGAATGAAACCTTCAGAGAAAAATTTTGGTCATCTATCAGAAAGAAAAAAATGATGTGTACAGTACATTGCAGCACAGCATACATGTACATACATGTACCCCCGTCAAAGCAACAAGATCAACCTAGAGGAATTTTTTTGGCAAGCTAGATGTGGTAGGAAAAAATAATGCACTGTCATGTGGTGTCGCTTGACCAATTTGATTGCATACATTCTAAAATCTGTTTTTACAAATCCTATAGTACTGTAGGAATGATTATCTCCTTCAAAATGTAGTGAATAGTAATACTATGAAGCACTGAAATCAGGAATGGATGAAATTAAAATAAATTAATAGTATAATAGTATAATTGAAATCATTATTGATGATATACTAGTAAATCAATTTCTGCAAGTACGGTACTTACTTGCTCCACAATGACAATGTTTTGGAAGTAGGTTGCAAAAGGTTGCAGAGTAATCGAAAGCGCTTCCTGTAATCGATTTTGGCAAGAATGTTTGTTTTCTTGAAGTCACAATAATGACATTATTCTGTGTTATCATAGATTTCAACTGTTTTTGCTGATGTTTTTCACAGAGGTATCTAGGACTTGTATGCTCTTTATTGTTTATCCACAGCTCCTACTCTATACACACAATTGTATTTGTCTAACCTGTAGCTAGTGCTCATGCAAACGCAAATATTGAACAAGAAGATAGAGGGATTGAAAACAAGTCATGAGTTCACACCACACCGCTTATTGTTTTAAACAGCCTCTCAAGATTCTACAGTTGTAGTTAGTGGTTAATTAGGGGAAGGGGGCACATCTTGTCCCTTGCCATCCCCCTCCTTTAAAGCCCCACTGCACTATTTATAGCTACTTGCGCCCTCTATGTAGCAAACAATGCCTAATCGGTTACCACTGGTCCCCCATGATCCTCTTTTTCTTATGTTAATTGAGAGCTGATTTGATGAGATAATCACCTGTCAGTGACCTTGCAGGGTGGTCTAATCCCTCCTGTAAAATAGTACAGATGGGCTTTAAAACCCAAGTGGCATACCTACATGTATGTATACAGATCCAAGAATGTGCCCCTCTGTGTACCCTCCCTTATAGGTGATTTGAGGGTACGGGTTCAGGTTTTTAGGTGTCCCTTAGCTTAACCCTTTTAGCCTTCACTGCATGCACAAAATATGTTGAAAAAATATTAGTGTAAGACTACCATAATTAACGGTGTATAAACCGCCTTCGTGTATTAACCGCACCCCTCTTTTTCGCCCTAAAAAAAAACCCACGCGGGAAGGCCTTTCATTTAACTGCAAGGTGCAGCTGTGTAAGTGTAAGATCATTAATGTTAATTAAAAAACAGTAGAGGACCTAGGATAGAACCTTGTGGTACGCCGTGTAATAGAAGAAAAATTGGAGGAATTATTATTATAAACTACATACCGGTATTGAGATCTATCAGAAAGCTTACTTTCAAACCAAGATGACAGACAAATTTGAGTGTTGTTCTAGTTTCCGAGTGGTGAGTCAACACACTGATTACTGAGCTGGGACACATTGCCAGGCATAGCGTCAGGTGGAGGGGCATAAATCAAAACTTTAAAAACTTTTTTTTTGTGTACCGTGTATAAGACGCACCCCCGACTTTGAATTAGGCAAAAAAGTGTGGTTTATACACCGTTAATTACGGTACTAGTTACGGTACTAAGAACCAATGTAGCACCAATGTGTGTAGGACCAATGAATGTAGCACCAATGTATGTAGGACCAATGTGTGTAGCACCAATGTGTGTAGCACCAATGTGTGTAGCACCAATGAATGTAGCACCAATGTGTGTAGCACCAATGTTTGTAGGACCAATGAATGTAGCACCAATGAATGTAGCACCAATGTATGTAGGACCAATGTGTGTAGGACCAATGAATGTAGCACCAATGTGTGTAGCACCAATGTAGGACCAATGTATGTAGCACCAATGTGTGTAGCACCAATGTATGTAGGACCAATGAATGTAGCACCAATGTGTGTAGCACCAATGTATGTAGGACCAATGTGTGTAGCACCAATGTGTGTAGCACCAATGTGTGTAGCACCAATGTGTGTAGCACCAATGTGTGTAGCACCAATGTGTGTAGCACCAATGTGTGTAGCACCAATTGAGCATAAGGCCACTGAAGCATAGGACAAGCAGGGTGTCATCAATATACTAGCTGTTACAATTCTCTTCCAACCTTATTTTTACCTTCAGTGTGTCCATGAGACGTAGTTCTTGATCATTGAGTCTGAGGATTGCATCGTGGGCCGTCTTACTTTGTAGTTCAGAGCCAAATCCCATTCGACTTGAGTTCCTTGCCTAAATGAGGAAAGCAAAACAGAAGAAACAAATATTCATATCAAACCTCAATCAAACCAAACAGGACAATCTAACTGTCATGAAAAGGAGCCATGTTAATTGCATAATGTAAAACAATTTGTAATAACATTGTGTTGTATCAAACTGTCAGATTGGACATAAACTGCACAAAGTGCAAAGTTATGAAATGAAAGCAAGGTTTAATATGGTTAGGCAACTCATGCTGACTCAAATTCATTTGGAGGTTAATTTCTATCTCTTTACTTTTAATATTTCAATTGTCATTAAAAAAATAACTTCAAGCAACCATGATAAACGACCTCTATTCCAAATCATTTGCATGCCTCATACTAAAATCATCGGCTCTCCTCCATAGTCCATACGTCACATATGTAATCAAATGAACATGTGTATGTTACAGCCATGGCAACATTGGTGTTTCAGGACAGGGATTTAGACCTCTATTTTGCCTTCTTGCTAACTTCATTTATTTTGCAAATTTCCTGTGATGACCTTGCTGATACTATACCTACACGTAGATCACAAATTTTAGACGGATACTTGATAATTTGGATGTAGGAAGCGGCATGTGATTTATAACTTCACAGTAAAGAGCAATGTTTATACCTTATTTTTACAGCCAATTAAGGCATCTCCATCCATTGTCTTTTAAACAACCACAAACCTCACAGAGTTATGACCAAGTTTCTGATCAAGTTTCTATATCATAGTGAAGGCTTGGATTGTTTTATTGCATCTTTTATACGAGTTACGACTATTACTATTGCAGACTATCTGCTTTAGAAAGCCATTGTTTAGAATACAAGTGTTTCCTCATTTGAAAAGAATCGTGACAGTTATTGCCCAGTTGACAAATGTAAGATTACTTAAAGATAAAGTTGAGTTCTGGTCATGTGATTGCATTGTGAAAGAAACGGTGTGGAATCTATCAGAAAAAGTTGATCATCTAGTATATAAGTATTTGTGTGTATTGCAAGGTTCTGGAATCATCAAAATGATAAGAAATTTGGCCAAATCTTGGCAAAGTTACAAGCACTGTACACAAAATGATGTATATGGGACTACACGAGCACATGGCGAAAAAAACCTACCCCCCGATTTTTACGATGTTTCATGTCATATTTAGAATATGAAGGCATTTGAAGAGCCATGCTTTTCAGGGAACATGTTTAATCTGATGTTCTTCCACCCTTGCATAATAACAATGATAACGCTCACAAATTATTTTTTACCTCTTCCCAGAACTCAACCTTCTCTTTAATGAGTGCTATATCTTTCACATTCGTCTGTAGACATTTTTTAATACCACTTGGCAATGACATGTCTACATCTTCCACAACTCTTGCAAACAGACAAAAAATTGAAAGGAATAACAAAATATATTTGAGAAATACAATTGTCGCAGTCATGCTGTATACCTTACAAAATTACTGTACTCCTCATTAATGACACCTTATAATTCTATCTGCAACTGACACTTTTCTGAGAAGGAAACTATCCACTCATCAATCAACTCTTCAAGATCATTAACAGGAAGGAAACAAAAATCTTCAAGATCATTAATGGAAACTTGGAAAGGAAAACAAAACTCTTTAAGATCAAATTCAGTGTGAATTATGAATAAGGATCCAGTGCCCAGAAATCCTTTTAATTCCTTTTAAATATATTTCGTAATTTCATTTTTTTTAAATAGAGTAAATGTATATGTTTGTCTCTTAGAACAAAAATTAAATTGCATAATGCAGACACTTACTTCACAAATCTGATTCAACATTACCTACCATTAAAATTGAAACAAAACTTCAAGCAACTTCATGAAGGAGAAGTCCACCATGATATTGAGTTGGTCTTAATGGAAGCAGAAAAATGAGAGAAATAGATCAGTGAAAGTTTGAGGAAAATCCAATGAACAATAGCAATCTCATGAACTTTTAAAGTTATGATCAATCAACCACAAAATGGCAACTCAGTAACGCACCTTTCAAGCATTCCTCTCATTTGATTTATCTTGAAATTTTCATACATTTCCATTTTTGGGGTGGTTGAGGAAGGATTTCATATATTTCATTAAGCCATGAGAGTGCAGGTACAAATGAATATTTTCCTTAAAGAAAATGAAAATTCATAATTTACTTCAGAGCACAATTTGATGGTCCTGGAAATGTGTGCCACAGAGTTACCAATTTGCATTTGATCGTGTAACTTTTGTAAATAGATTTTCTTCAAACTTTCACTAATCTGTTCCTCTCATTTTCCCAGTTTCAATAAAACCAACTTAATACCTGGACGAACTTCCCCTTCAAACATCAAAGCATATTATTTCCTGAATATTCAGATATGAAGCTAAAAACCTTGAGATGTTGAAATCAGATTGAATGTGGGCCCAGGAACATTGATCTATTCATCTCATACACAGGAAGAAACATGGAAAAGGCATTTCCCTGGTTTCATAAATACGCATGAACTCAAAACCACTGAGTATATTATGCCGATCTCATGCACACAAAAGTGCAAAGTATTCAAAGCAAATACTCCTGGCTCGATCTGTATAGGTTTGTAAAATTGCAGTTCATGCATGCTTTCCTCTAAAGCTTATTATAGCGAGGTTCACACAACATTCTGTTAACTTAAATTTTAGGATGTGGTTTTAAAGTTAACTCAAAGTTACAAAACACAATAGATCTTAAGTTTAGCGCGACAGCTATGAGCAACGGGAGGAGCTCATGCATGCACTCAAAGTTATGTGCTGTGCAGAGGCAGTTAACTTTGAGGTTATACACCCGGCTTGCATGAGGTGAGAATGACTGCTTGACTGCCATTTAATGCAAACTTTGAATACTCGTTGTTTCGGTCTTGTGTGAACCCTCATCGTGGTTAGTGGAATGTTGTTTATAACTTTCAGGTTTTGTTCACATAGATTTTAAAACTAAGAAATTTCCATGTGAACACAGCTAATATGAGTGGTGGTTTAATGTGCATTGTAAAAGGTTGTGCAAGAGCAACTTTACACATCATTTATGATTCGTTCTGTGATTAGTAATAAGGAAAGGTTTGGGTAATAAAACAACACAATGGTCCATCAATCATGCAGGCATATACACAACGCACATATAATTGTAGTAAATTGTGGTTGTCTGTGTGCCGGGTCTCTGTGCAGATATTACCTTCCTTGATCTAATCATGATAATTTTACTATAATATCTGGGCCAAGGATTAAAAACATGTTGACTATAAAAAATGCAAATAATAAAGTTACATTAATTCTTCAGCATAAAACAGCGTAATACATGTAGATTAAATCAAGTTGATACATTTTAGCTGGCATCCAAGATAACACCTACAGGTGTATCGCAAATAAAAAACAAAATCAAAACACCCCCAAAATAGTAAAGGCAATATACATCAAACATTTATATAGTTTACTTAGTTTTTACATTTTATAATAGTACGAGTGTCCATGCTTCTACTATTCTGAAAGATTTTTTCAAAATTATTTTAAAATAAAAAGACTCCATGTAGTGTAATTCTATAAAGATAGAAATCTTGCAAGAACTAAAACATATGAGATGTTTATGTATAAACAGGAATCTGTAGGATAACAATTAGCCATCTCCAGGGTAGAAACATAGGATAAATTCCATCTGGGTCGAATCCAAAATGGCGGAAAACAACATCAGCTAGCTACACAACTAGAACTCTGTTGTTGATTGGACAGTCACGATAGACATCATAGCTCTGTGTACAAAGGGGCTGGAAAGGTTGGTTTGACTCACCAACTTGTGCCATCGCACTGCATTGCTGAATGTGCGCACCTCTCGCGTCAGCTGGTCGTGTACCGGCGAGTGCGTCGATTGGAGAAGAGTTTTTCCGCTCATCTCTACCCCGAGAAAGCAATAAGATTTCCTCCCAGAAGTTAAATCCAAAGTATTAGATTCCAAGTTTATGTGAGAGAGGAATACTAGCTGCGCCTCTTTGCCGTCATGAGACGGCAAAAATAAACATGGCTTCCCCCGAAACTTTTATTTGTTTCCCCTGGCTTTAGTCACACATTTCTTGTCTTGTGTCGCTGTTTCAGGGCGCAGGGGGAGTTTACGTGTTACAGCCAGGTTTTACTTCACTGTTGCGAGAGGGGGCAGCTGTTGGCAGTTCAACGCTGACTCATTTCGTCTCAAATACACAACGCATAGGAAGCTTCCATAAACCGCGTCTCTGACCCCCGCACTGGTAACAATTGACACAGCATCCAGCAAACAAAAACTGTCCGAATTCTACGACGTAAGACACCAAAACAACATTGTCTCGTCTCTAAGAATCTCGTCTCATGAGGTGCTACTTCCCAGGTACAGTTATGTTATAATGCCCCACACGATACTCCCCTTTTGACAGTTACCCCAATGATTTGATTAAAGTTGTTTTTCCTTCGCTAAGTGAGCATCGAGCCCCCTTTTTGCAAGGCTGCTTCGCACATCATAGTCTGCCCTTGTTGAAACGCGTAGGAAATGAGAGGTTTCCTGTGGGTCGGCTTTCTGCCTCATCGTGATTCATACCCCCCTTGACACTCGATCCTTCAATATCATAGACAACAAAGCATAGTTGCCAACTTCAATGTGTTAAGATGAGCCTACCTTTGATACTGCCTCATGTATACCCCTTCCCCCGTGTCACACAACTCTTCATTACCACACAACAAACCATAGTTGCTAGTTTAAATGCATTACGACAAGTGTAGGGTCACTCGAGCCATATTTGCTAGCTCAAATGCACTACAAGTTTAAGTTTACTCAAACCGTAGTTGCTAGTTAAAATGCATTACGACAAATGTAAGTTCACTCAAACCGTAGTTGCTAGCTCAAATGCATTACGACAAGTAGGTCACTCAAACCATAGTTGCTATTTAAAATGCATTACAACAAGACAGTGTAAGTTCACTGAAGCCTCATTCTGTCAGGAACCCCATGACTTTTAGAAGCCGATTGCCTGTCTGATTATCAAGATATTAATGATTGGAAATAAAAATCAAATTTAGCGATTCCTAACGGTTTTCCTAACACTACAGTCTATTGGGGAAAACGAGTATGGTAAAACCGGTCATTCAAAGATTTTTACTTTTTTGAGGCACTTCTTGATCGTTTTGAAGTGCAATTTTTTAGGGCTTCAATATTACACCATATCATAGACACTAATAACATGTAGGGCCGTGCATGTCAGATTTAACATTGTTAAACGATGCCTTTAATATCATACCTTATCAGCTGATATTTTCCTGTTCACATATTCTCAAGGATGAAAGCAAAGAAACATTTTGTTTGTTTTGCGATAATTTTCAGGCTACTTAACATAACTCCTGAAACCATGTCTTCTTTATACTCCTTATATACCGCAAGGTACAAAACAGACAAATTTTCATCATGAAAAGTTGTCAATGCTACAAAAGTTGCTAAACATAAGTGGTACTTAAAGGGCAATCTAACTCTTGTTCATTTAAATGAGGGCCGAATATTCACAAAAAACAGAATGGAGAGAGTTTGAAATAAATAGGACTAATAATAATAAAGTTATGAATGGATGAAATATGAAATCACTACAGCTGTGCGAATCTCAAATGGGCAATTTTGTCAGTGGATTGTGAGGTGGTAACGGTCAACTCTCCCGTTTGTCCTGTACAGAAATATCACTAATTTCTGTTTTTCTCCCAAGTGCCTTCACCCTTGGGGGCTTGGGGCACTGCTCAAAATATAGTATGGAGAGTATGTACTGCTAAACTACAAATAGTATTCTCCCCTTTATTTCAGCAATTTGAAGAATATCGAAATTTGAAATGATCGTAATTAACAGCTTATCTTATCTAATTGGGATGAATAACAGAGGCTGGTAGGTATGCCAACCAGAGTCAAACAACATACATTATTAAAAAAAAACATTAACATAAAATAGCAGACATACAATAAAAAAATAGTAATGGTAAATAGAACGAGTGCTGAAAAAGAATAAAATCACAAAAACTTAATAGCACAGTGACGGCATGCATTTATTAGCCATATCTAAAATAAGGTAGTTTAATGCATGGTCTGTTACTAAAACTATAATAAGGGAGAAATAGTGATCCCTTTCACAAAGAGGCTATTAAACCTACATGTATCTGGCATGATATCAATGTTTGCTCATTAGCACAGTATTCAGAAATTAGCACCGCTGTACAATCAAAGCTCAATGATTTTTAAAGCCTAATATTCAATTTATTGTGGAAGCAATGCTTTCATTTCCAAACCACAGATTAGATATGACAGAATAAGACGTACTCGTCAAACTCAGAGATCCTTCATTCAAAATGAATTATTTCAATGATGGAAAATCACTACAAAATACATATCAATTAAATCAAATATTCTTATTTTGATTGACAACAAATTATTTTGAGAATCTGAAATAGTCAACAAAATTCATGAACATTTCATGCATAAGAAAAATTCTGTTTGTGCAGGTTAAATGTAATCGAGTCTATGAAATATTTCAGCATAACTGAATTAGGTCTTTTTGTAGAAGACCCAACTATAGATGATTTATTATTCTGCAATTGAAAAAGTACAACCTGGGGGAGGAGCGATTTCTTATGAAAACTGTAAAGTGTAATGAATTGTTAAATACAAATATAGAAAGTAAAACAATAAGAATTCATTTGACCCCCCCCCCCCCCATGGCTAATTATTAGTAGTGGTAGTCAGATTGGTTAAATAGTGGAGAACACTTATTCCCTGATCTAAAATTAGTATGAACATTATTTTCCGCTTTATAAGTCACCTCCTATATGGACCAGTCGCATAATAGGAAGAGATTAGACATCAAACATCCTTGAATGCATTGGTTATTTCTATTGCTCAAATGTCACATGTTTCCCAGTCTTCCCCCCAAGACAGCCGACGTCATATGTCATCTTAGTCTCCTTCACAGACCCACCATTATGATGTTTCCTCAGTTCTATCCATAGCAACCCCAGTGAAAAAAATTATACAGTGAAACAAAACAAAACCAAAGAAACAAATATGTGTTATGCTCTTTAAAAATATTGACATAATTATGGTTGATGGTGGGATCAGAGCATTCTGACTTTAAGAAGGCGACTTAATTTAAGTGAGGTGTCTGATTGCCTGTATGGTAAAAGAACTACATTTAATAGAGCATATTACAAAATGGAAATTTCAGATTATATAAGCAATTTGAATGTTAACAAATTACAAATAAGATCCATATTGGTCAATATATCAGTAATCATGTAGATCATATAATACCGGTAATAATAATAATAATAATATTCGGTTCTTGTAAAGCGCATAATACCTTATGAAATAACATCTCTATGTGCTTCCAAAGAGCTTTGGAAATTATTATCCTAGCTTTAGCTCCGGCAGCCGTTACCTAGGTACGCATTCACCTCACCTGGGTTGAATGTGGCAAATGTAGATTAATGTCTTGCCAAAGGACATTAGTGCCACAGAAAAATAACATTTTCACAATAAAATTGGTGTTATTCTGCTTAATGAGCAAGCAAAGCAAGCGAGCAAAATTTAGCAAAAGGCAGGGAGACATGCAGGCATGAGGTGTCACCCCCACCCTTGTGAAAATATGCCTGTACGCCTGCATGATCATTCATCTCAACAATTACTAGAGTGATACTAAACAAAAATCCTTTGATGAGTTATGGATTGGAATAGCAGAAAACTTAAAGGTTGAAAAATGCTGATCATTATACAGCACGCAAGATGGAAACTGCCTAGAAATGAGACTATACTGGACTGCATTTTCTCTCTCTCTCTCTCTCTCTCTCTCTCTCTCTCTCTCTCTCACTCACTCTCTATCTTTCCCTCTCTCTTTCCCCTCATCTAACAGGAAGCAACAAGACTATGATGTCATAGGGTCGACTGATGCTTGGTTACCATTCAACGTGACTGTCAAATTTTCTCTCCGGTTTAGACGACCTTTAAGATTGAAATTCAACTCAAGGGGAAAGTTAACAATGTAACTGAATAATTACCGGCAGGCCATGTCATATGGACCACGGTTCTCGAGGTTACTATACAGAATAACACAAGGCTATGATACACAACACTTCGATTTTAGAATGTTAAAATAAAAACTATATAAGCCAGTATACAGACATGCATGAACTACATGCGAAATCCCCAATATCCATAATTTGGGAAAGTTAATGTACCGTATGTGTTTGTTTAGTACACAAAAGATGGCATATATCTCTGTTAATACACCATAAAAACAGACTTTTGTTCATTAAAAAAAGCTGGAATTCTGTCAATACACCCCAAATAGAATCAAATTACAATGTTCTACTGACAAGGAAAAGTGTAGGTATTTCAGTGGTTCTGTATTTTGTTGTCTTTATTAAATATCCACATCTTCTGTGCCACCAAATTTTTTGACAATCCGGACTACCGGTACATAGCTTTCAAGATTTTACATGTACTTTTGAATTATACTTCTTTGTTCCTCTGTTAAATTGGGAATAACATAATTATTGTCTGTTTGGAGCCAGAAGGCTGTTAACTCTGTATTACAAGGTACAAGTTAATGCCCTTCTGGTTCCAAACAGCCACTGTATCTTCCTTGAAATAAACTTTGAGCCGAAGGTACCTAATTTTGCTCCAAGGAGAATTAAAAGTGGCAATTCTTAATAGTCCAAACACGTACCTTGTGGCTGTCAACAGCACAGAAGGGGTTTAAACATGATGAAGTACAATACATGTAGAGCTGTTATGAACCGTATTTGTAATATTTCATTGCTTGGTATACAAGAACATGCATTAGAACTGATATTACTGTAAAAAGTCTTATCACATCTATCAAGCAATTTCATATCATGCTTCGTGAGGCTTGTTGCTAAATTGTCTATGAAGTGTCTTTCATTTTAATAGTTCATTACAGTAAAACTAAAACTTTGAGTTGGATCGTTGCCATATTAGGCAAGGGAAAATGACTGGGTAAACATCTCATTTCCAGCCTGGCAATAAGCCCGATACGAACATATGTGAACCAAACCAACCTATATTATGACCTGCACACTAATTTACAAGCAGGAAAACATGATCATCTCATGAAATATTATATTGTAAGCTATTAACTAGACAGGGGCATTGCCCTTTTTTCTAAATAAAAACAACACCCAGTGATGTTTACTGACCAGTTCACTGCTTTAAAATGTGATTTCTACCAAATGTGCTTGCCAGGGATTATAATGCTTGTTAGCAGTACTACCAAGTACCAATCACTAAACATGTTTTGCTCTTGATATGTATCTAAAAAGTTCCATGTGGCTACATTCTATACTGTTTTCAAAATTTGAGCTTCTTCAAAGAGATATCGCAATTTAAATACATTCTAAGTAAACTGTCTTCTTAGCGAATAAACTAGTTTGACGTACGCACTCCCATAGATTAGATTCTAAATAGACTTTACCGTGAGGTAAAGTATATTGAGGTTGATTTTATACATTCTAGCTATACACAAATGATTTTTTTTCAGGTAATTAATTTGTACACATTAAAAGTTCTTTGAACCTTTACGTAAATGTATCTATTACAATCTATACCACTTGATAAGGGATAGTGTAGTGTAGTGTAGTGGTTATTTCACCAGACTGCTAAGAAAGCATAAATGCTTGTTAGT